ACAATGGGACTCTGTTTCAAAAAAAAACAAAGAATAGAAACAAAAATTAAAACACACAGCATGTATCTTTGGACTGATAAGATGGCTCAGCCAGCAAAAGGGCTTAGGTGCAAACCTGCTAACCTGAGTGTGATCTTGGGAACCCAGGAGAGCTCTGATTGCCATATAAGTACCATGGCATAATAATTGCACCAGGGCACACACCTATGGTACTAATAATAAGATTAAATTAAAATATTTGTATGGGCTGGTAGAGTATGTATCAGTGATAGAAAACTTTCTCAGGATGTGCAGGACTGGATTCAATCCCCAGGGCTAACATACACAATTGGATCTTTTTGAAAATATGTATTCTAGTTCTTTGAGTAACAAATGGCAACTCAGAAGAAAAAATTACATTTAAAAGTAATTTTAAAAGTTAAGTTTTAATTAAGATATGTATTTATTGTCTGTATACTTTCATGTGTGGGGGTTTATACTCATGTATGCCTGCACGTTTGGTGGCAAGAGGCCAGTACTGAGTGTTTTCCTCTACTGCTCTACACCTTAGTTTTGAAACTTGGTCTCTTACTGAAGCTGGAGCTTACCTATATGACTAGGCTGATAGGTCAAGAAGTCTATGGAATCCTTAGCACCAGGACTATAGGCATTCTCCACACCTAGCTTTTAGTGGTTGTAGGAGATCTGAACTCAAGTCCTATACTTGCAGGGCAGGTACCTTATGCCTGAGAAATCTCTCTAGCCTCTAAAACAACTCTTTAAATTGATAAATACAAATTGTATATATTTATGTCTAAAACATGCTGTTTGAATATATCCATAGCTTCTGGGATGGTTAAATTAAGCAATTTTAGCATATCTAATACATGCATCTCTCTCTCTCTCTCTCTCTTTCTCTCTAAAACAAGGTTTCTTATATCCCAGGAGGGCCTCTAACTTGATAGCAGGCCAAGATGGATGACCTTGAGCATCTAGTCTTTCTGGCTCCTCCTCTGAGTGCTGGGATTATTATAGGCACGAGCAGCAATTTTAGGTGGTATTGGGGATTGAACCTATGTCTTTGTATTTGCTAGGCAACCAACTGAGCTACATTTCAAGCCCATATGCTTATTGTGTGTGTGTGTGTGGGTGTGCAGTGTTCATTCATAATTACCAGCCCATATGTGTGGTAAGAACCCTTAAAATCTATTCTCAGCAATTTATAATTGTACATATTATTAACTAATAATCATGAAGTATAAAAATATTGATTTCTACCCTCTTTGTGGACTGACTAATACAGCCAGTGGTTTATTTTGATGCCAGTTTCTTTATCTGATAATTCCAAGTATTAAATGAGGTAAAACATATTATTTAGTGGCCTGCTCACAATATGTTAAGTGCTCAGCATAATTTGAATTTGGAAACCAATTCTGTTGTTAGATTTATTTCATGTGCATGTGTGCTTTGTCTGCATGTGCACCATGTGCATTCATGGTACCCATGGAGGTCAGAAGAGGACATCAGATCTCCTGGAACTGGGATTACAGTCAGCTGTGAGTCCTGGGACTAAACTCATGTCCTTTGCAAGAGCAGACGATGTTTTTTTTTTTTTTTTTAACTTTCTTTTTTATTTATTCTTCCTGTCTTTCTCTCTATGCACCCTGATGCCACCTATCTGCCCTCTGCTCCTGCAACCTCCCGTACCCCTCAAAATAAAATAAAATTTAAGATAAAAAAAGAAGAAAATAAAAGAAAGAGAAAAATCTCATCATGGTAGCTGTGTTGTGACCCAGTGAGTCACCAAGTAAATCCCTTTGTCCATACATGTTTACATCACAAAGAATCACTGGTTTGGTTCAAGGCCCCTGGTCTCTGCCACACTATCAACACCTGGCCCTCGCTGGGATTCTGTGACTCTTCCTGGACATCCTGTTTCTGCCCTACGTCATGGAGATCCTGTAGCCCTGGGTTTACAGGACCACCCCCACCCCACCTCCCACTGTCAGTGCTCCAGCAGCTCACAGATGGAGTGGGTGTTGGGGTGGGCCAACCCTTAACCCTGGTTCTGGGCTTGGGTAGTTGCAGGGCTGGTCAGCCAGTCGCCTCTCCTCTGTCTTTGACACCCTGGTGAGTTTCCCAGTCTTGGCTGTTCACCCTTGAAGAGAGATAAGTGAGGGGCGCCACCAGTTCTCAGGCTTTCAAGTCCTCAGGGTCAGATCTCCCACACCTACACCTTCAGGGCCAGCTCTACTGTGTTGCCCAGTGGAGGAGTGGGGGCCACTCACCGGAGTGCTGCAGGCTGATGAGGGGCAGGAGCTTCTCTTGCTCTTCTCAGGTCTCCCACCTGAGAATAAGTGATATTACCCTCCCCCCGTGCCACCACATACCAGGTGAGTAATGGGGACTGCTCTCCCATCTGCCTCAGGGGGCAGATGGGGGAGGAGGGGGAGCCAATGCTCTTAGCTGCTGAGCCATTGCTTCAGCACCAGTCAGCATATTTTAAAATAATCTTTAGAGTAATAGACGAGAAAAGGCAAAATTAAAATAATACAAAAATATATGCACTTTTTTTTTTGGTTTTGTTTTGGGACAGACTGCCAGTGTAGCCCACATTGTCCTCAAACTCAGATTCCTCCAGTCCAGTCGGTGTATCTCCAGAGTGTTGGATTTAAAGGTCTGAGCCCCACCCAGCCAACGTTTGCTTCCATTACCACAACTATTACTTGGGATCTTCAAGCAAAGGTCAGATTTTTATTGTTGGTTAAGAATAGAGGTTGACAGAGCAGTGGATGATAGTGTTTTAGTCAGAACCAAGTGTAAGAACACGAGTATTCTGGCTAAATTCCAGTGTGAGTGGTTTACATTCTCCAGCTTCAAAATAATTTTTATTATTAGCCAACACTTGTCCATCCCAGCAACATACACAACACAAAAGGGTAGAGGCCTCCCTTGGCATGTTGGCAGGCTGTACATACTTTCCACTCAGGGTTCCCTTTTCTGACGGCTGTGGCATAGTTTTTCACCCTCCACTAATTCCAAGCCTAGGATGTTTGTAGACCTTGAGTGCCAAGCAGTTACTAAGAACAAAAGGGATTAAATATGAGCACCTATGGGGAGCGGAGCAACTCACATTTTAAACATTTATTAATAGCCATGATGTTCGTGAAGAGATAGTTTACTGCTTTTTAAACTCTGCTACTGAGATTAAAATACAGAGTTTCATTAGCGTCTGTTGATAAACAGAAGGTGGGTTTTCCGTCTGTACAAATGGCACGGAGGAAAATAACAATAAGACCCAACAGATCTCAGTCCCTGGGGCCAGTCCCAGTCTTCCAAGTATCCCTGGGCCTTCTCCCTATTTCAATCCACCCCCCCCAAGGAAGAAAGTGATAGAGGAGCAGTATACAATTTAAAGCCTCTTCATAAGCATGTGAGTGAATTTCAAGTATGCTAAACACCTCAGTCTCCAAACCTAATTAGAACACGTAGAAAAGTGGCATTTGTGGGATACTTAAAACTTGCAGCATACTAGCCCATCAGGAGAGCGCCACTGTGTGTCCCTGCTTTGGGTCTTCCCGTGGTTCCAGCTGCCCCCCCCTCAGGGGGTCCCAGCCTAGCCAGAGTGCGCAGCGGCCAGCCCCGGGTGACCAAGCACCCGAGCCATACCCTGTCCCAGCCCGAGATTTTCTCTGCGGGTTTAGTACCTGCCAGGGATTATAAACCTCGACTGCTAAGGTCTAATATTTCTAGTGACTTACAAAACGGAAAGAAATTCACTATCGTCACAACAGTAAGATTTTGTTGCATATACAAAAACGCAAAGCCTGGGCAATATCGATATTTCCTGGGGAGGGGTGGTGGTGGTGAAGATTGTTTCAGATTCCAGGTTAGCCATCGGAACGCCTAATGTCTGCCAGGAGCTGGCACTCTGCCGTCTTGCTAGCTCGGCTGTGTACGTCAAGTTTTGAGGCATTCTGGCCTTAGAATCCTACGGAATCCAGACCGCGTACCAAGGTATAAACGATTAACAAACACGCGGTTGCTAATTAAGCACTGGCGGGTTTGTAATCCAGCACCATCAGAAGGGGGACAGGTGGCACAGATGAAATTGACCTCTCAGTTCCGCTTGTTTAAAAGCTCCGGACCTCGATAAAGACGCTTAGCTGGAGAGAAGTGGCCCGATGGAGGCCCTGGAAGCAGGCGTTTCAGAAACCAGAAGCTTCTAGGAAAGTGAGCCCGATACTGGCAAGCAGCCGCAGAAAACTCCTGAAGGACTTGGAACCAGGTTTCCCGCCCGGGTTCTCTAGGCGGCCTTATTAGCATTGACCACGCCCCCACCGCTTCCCGGCCCACTATTGGCCGACGCTCTTCCGCTGCCCGCTCTGGGCGGGGCCTCGGGGCGCTCTGGGAGAGGCCCGGCCTGCCGGGCGGTGGGCGGGGACGCTCGGAGCGCGCGGTGGGGCGGCCCAGCTCGGGGCAGGGCGGGAGGGGGCGGGCCCGGGGCGGGGCCTCCCGGCGGGCATTAGAGGCAGGTGACCCGGGCGGGGCGGGAGAGGGCAGTCAGCCTGCGGCCGTGGCTTCTCCGCTGCCGTCGCGCACCGTTCCGAGCTCACTGGAGGTGGGCGAAAGAGTGCGAGAGCGCGGGGGAGGAGCCGAGCGGGGCGCGTCCTGAGAAGAGCCGCCACCGCCCCCCGGAGTCTGCTGGAGCGCGGAGCCCCCTGCAGGGGAGGCGGTGAGCGGCTGGCGGGACGCGGCGGCGGGCGGACCATGCAGTCCCGGCCCGGCCAGTGCCGGCTGCTCGCAGTGCTGTGAAGTGGCGGGGTCCCCTCCAGCCGCCGCACCCCTCCGCTTTCCAGCCCAAGTGCTGCCCGGCGCCCTTGCCCTTCGTCTGGGCTCCGGGACACCGGTGGGAGGCACGGCCTGTCCCTGCCCTGCTCTGCCCGAATCATGCAGGGGGGGCCGAAGGAAGAGAAGGCGACTGACCGGCCCGTGCTGGCCGTGATCGAGGGGCAACCTGCTCTCTGAAACGCTTCCCACCTGCTGCCATGTGTCGCCGCCACAGGTACCTAGCTTGTCGTTAAACTTTTCCAGCTCTGGCCGGATTCGGAGTCTCGGGACGGAGGAGCCCGACTGGCTGCAGACATTGCCGCCCAGCAGGATCCTTAGAGGTAAGAGCCCGCGTCTTCCCCTAATCCCAGTTCTCCCGGTTTCTCTGCCCCTTTCTCGGGGACTGAGCTCTCTGGCCCCAGGCACAGCCTGCAGGGCCGGGCAAGGAAAGCGAGGCGGGCGTGGGGAGTGGGGTGCGGGGAGTCTGAAGTTTGGCTCCAGGAGGTGGAGGGGAGGAAAGGAGTTAATCTAGAGATTGGAGACCGCGTACGGAGACCGAGTGGTTGGCGCTCCTCTAAGAGGAGTGTTTGCGATTTTTCTTCTCCCCCTACCTTCTCTTTTAAGAGTTGTGTCCTTGGAATCGGAGCCCTAATCATCTCTCTAGCCCTATCTGGAGTGGAGCGCTGCCGGCGGAGGCAGCGCCTTCCCGAGGCAGTTTATCTTTGGACGGATTTCTTTAAGAGAAAAAGAAACCAACAGGTTGCCAGCCCGAGCGTCACACTCAAGATTCCGGAGAGGTGGAAGCCGGGGCCGCGGATTCGTCGGTCATCGCCGACCCTCTCGGGCAGCGGGAGGCAGGGGGAAGAAGGGGGCGATGGCTCGGCCCGACCCGTCCGCTCCGCCCTCACTGCTGCTGCTGCTGCTAGCGCAGCTGGTGGGCCGGGCAGCGGCTGCCTCCAAGGCCCCGGTGTGCCAGGAAATCACGGTGCCCATGTGCCGAGGCATCGGCTACAACCTGACGCACATGCCCAACCAGTTTAACCACGACACGCAGGACGAGGCAGGCCTGGAGGTGCACCAATTCTGGCCTCTGGTGGAGATCCACTGCTCACCGGACCTGCGCTTTTTCCTGTGCTCCATGTACACACCCATCTGCTTGCCCGACTACCACAAGCCCCTGCCACCATGCCGCTCGGTGTGCGAGCGCGCCAAGGCCGGCTGCTCCCCTCTCATGCGCCAGTACGGCTTCGCCTGGCCGGAGCGCATGAGCTGCGACCGCCTCCCTGTTCTAGGCGGTGACGCCGAGGTTCTGTGCATGGATTATAACCGAAGCGAAGCCACCACCGCATCCCCCAAGTCCTTCCCGGCTAAGCCCACTCTCCCAGGCCCACCAGGGGCGCCATCTTCCGGGGGCCAGTGCCCCTCCGGAGGTCAGTCTGTGTGCACGTGCCGCGAACCCTTCGTGCCTATCCTGAAGGAGTCACACCCTCTGTACAACAAGGTGCGCACCGGCCAGGTGCCTAACTGTGCAGTGCCCTGCTACCAGCCATCCTTCAGCCCCGATGAGCGCACGTTCGCCACCTTCTGGATTGGCCTGTGGTCTGTGCTGTGCTTTATCTCCACATCCACCACTGTTGCCACCTTCCTCATCGACATGGAACGATTCCGCTACCCTGAGCGCCCCATCATCTTCTTGTCAGCCTGCTACCTGTGTGTGTCGTTGGGATTCCTGGTGCGCCTGGTCGTGGGCCATGCCAGCGTCGCCTGCAGCCGCGAGCACAGCCACATCCACTATGAGACTACTGGCCCTGCTCTGTGCACGGTCGTCTTCCTCTTAGTCTACTTCTTTGGCATGGCCAGCTCCATCTGGTGGGTCATCCTGTCTCTCACCTGGTTCTTGGCGGCTGGCATGAAGTGGGGCAACGAAGCCATCGCAGGCTATGCCCAGTACTTCCACCTTGCTGCCTGGCTCATCCCCAGCGTCAAGTCGATTACAGCGCTGGCCCTAAGCTCTGTGGATGGGGACCCTGTGGCCGGTATCTGCTATGTGGGCAACCAAAACCTGAACTCGCTGCGTGGCTTTGTCCTGGGTCCACTGGTACTCTACCTGCTGGTGGGCACGCTCTTCCTTCTGGCGGGCTTCGTGTCACTCTTCCGCATCCGGAGCGTCATTAAGCAGGGTGGCACGAAGACGGACAAGCTGGAGAAGCTCATGATCCGCATCGGCATCTTCACTCTGCTCTACACGGTGCCAGCCAGCATTGTGGTGGCCTGCTACCTGTATGAGCAGCACTACCGAGAGAGCTGGGAGGCGGCCCTCACCTGCGCCTGTCCAGGACCTGATGCAGGCCAGCCGCGCGCCAAGCCCGAGTACTGGGTGCTCATGCTCAAGTACTTCATGTGCCTGGTGGTGGGCATCACGTCGGGAGTCTGGATCTGGTCCGGCAAAACCCTGGAGTCTTGGCGGCGCTTCACCAGTCGCTGCTGCTGCAGCTCAGGGCGGGGCCACAAGAGCGGTGGCGCTATGGCCGCAGGGGACTATGTGGAGGCCAGCGCCGCGCTCACCGGCAGGACCGGGCCGCCCGGCCCCGCCGCCGCCGCATACCACAAGCAAGTGTCCCTGTCGCATGTCTAGGAGGCCTGGAGGCCGAGGCCCAGGGACAGTGCCGGAATTGAAGGAGGGGGTTGTTTTGCTTGGTAACTTTGTGAAGGTCACTTCCGTTTACCTTCTTGGTGCTGATGCCCCCTCCCTGAGGGGCTTGGAGAGGGAAAGGGGCCGGTTTCAAGAGAGTACTTGTCCCCCAGTCTTCTGCCATGGGGCGTGCAGTGTATTCTAGTTTGTATTTCTTACTGCCTTCTTTAGAAGAACCCTGTTTTTAATTTATATGTATTTTAATTTTTAACATTGTTGCATTTTGGCAACAAAATTAACCTTTGCTTTGGGGGCTTCACAATCCTCAAGCTGTCATTGTAAAGAGGTTACCCTCGGTTCAGGTTTCTTTGGTTGTGTGGTTTGAATTGGGAAAATATATTTCCTATATGTGTGTCTTTTGTTGTTGTTGTTTGTTTGTTTATGTGAACAGTGAAAGGCTGCTGTGACTGGGAAGGTGTGGAGTATCTTTTTTATGATTATTTTTTTAAACTAGTTTTTCCTTACACTGCTTAAAATGTCCAGGACACATAGAGGCCATAGGCCATCTGCTAGTTCTGTGTATAACCCCCTCCCCCCCCCACCTCCCCGGGAATGGAGCTTGATGTGGGTTAGGACCATCCCCAAGTTACAAGGTTGGGGAGCTAAAGATTTTGTGAGCCTCCTTAACCTTGCAAGCGCTGGGCTCCCTTCAGCCTGGCCGCAGTCATGCTCATTCCTAAGAGCCCGCGCCTCGTCTTGACTATGTTAGAGGTGGCACTATAGAGCTGGACATAAACATTTGCCATAGTGAGCGAGCGAGTGCCCGAGGGATGGCGATTGGTTGAATGTGAATTCTGAGCTGGTGAGGTGACTGGCGAGGTGCTGAACTTTGTGCCGGAGAGGGAGTGGGTGGTTCTTAATGAGCTCCAGTGATCCCTTATTATTTTTAAAGAAACTTGTGCTACAAATTTCAGTAAAAGTAAAGCCACTCCCTTCTTCTGGAAGTACTTAGGAACCCTTGCTAAAGGGGGCTCCCTTTTAGAGTAAAGGACGAAAAACGGATATGCTTCCAGTAATTAAAGTAAGTTCCCATTGCTGTTTATCTGCTCCTCCCACCCCACCTCCTTTATCATGCTAAACAGTCTTTCTCGCTTTTCTTATTCCTCCTCCCGGAGAGCGGTGATTAGAAACCACACCCACCCTCTAAAGAGGTGCTGCAACTGGAGGGAGCTAGGTACCTGAGAACAAACATGGGCTTGGAGGAAGGAAAACAAGTGTCCCTGAATTCAGGGCTAGTTTAATGCCAGATGGCCCCAAAGCAGCAACACGGATCCCTGGTAGTCTCTGGAAAATAAACAGGACCCATAACTTAAGCTCGGTAATATGGGCAGTTGTAATGCTACTGCTGGAGGTACCGTCCCTCACCTCGGATTTCTTTTCCTCTTCTGAGAAAGCCTCAACACCTCCCCCCCCCCAGTCTTTCTGCTATTAGAAAAGTCTGTTTGCTTTCCTAATCTGTTTAACCATTCATTCACTAAGAGTGTGAGGCCAGTACTGGGAAAGAAGTGCCAGTGACCAAGGCAGAGTAGAGATTGAATTTAGGAAGCTAAAATGGCCAAGCAATTAAAACTTCACAAAGCTTCCCAAGAAAAACAGCTGGAGTCTAGGCATCCCGGTTTTCATTTGCAGCAAATGGGGGTAAGCTTGAATCTGCTTTACCTCCCAGGTACTGAGTGGAGAAATGCATAGTTCCCACTGGGAATTTAAATGCTTAAGGCCTGAGTCTTAAGGTTGCTTGGAAGCTGTTCATGTTTGTAAAATTCACTACCCTTACTGACTCTTGAGCCGAAATTAAAACTTCAGTAGCTCCCGAAAAACCTCGTACACCTAGCTACAAAGCTCTGTAATGAATGTCTTATTCTGTTTATTTTGAAACCTCTTCCGGGAAGCCCAATAGGCTCCCTGTCTCAGCACCACAAATGCTGTTTTTCAGATGAGGCTCTTTTCTTATCACCTTGACCCCTTGGTTTGTTTAGCATGACTTCCTGGAATCTGCTGCCCAAGTCAACTGTGCCTAGTCTGGGTTGTTCCCTCTTCAGGAAGAAAACTGTGGAGGAATCTAGAAAAGATGTACAGTGTATCTAAAAGTTGTGGGATGAAGTGATGAAAGTGATTTAATTCACTTTTTAAAAAAATGATTATTTTTTTCAACATGCCAAAGCGAGAAAAAAAAGAACAATTACTTCCCTTTGAAAAAATAAGAAAGCTGAAACAGATGCCATGCCAAGGCGATGGATTAGGTTTGGAAGGAGCCTCAGAGGTCTCTTTTGTTTCCTGTCCTCCTCTTTCCTCTTTTCCTTTCTCTCCTACCCTAAGGAGACAAAGAGAGCCCACCTGCTTCTCTGAAGGCTTACTGACTTGGGCTCTAGTCTGCTCTAGGGGAGGGGAGGAGGGAGCTGCGTGTGTGGGTGTGTGGATGGTCACCCCCTCTTTCCGCCACACATTTTCCTCTACTTTGCATTTCTGTTGTGGTAACAATAAAGGGATCGACACGAAGATCTGTAGGGCAGTCCAGCAACATCTGCCCAGCAGGGAGGAGTTGTGCTGGTTCCAGCTGCAGTGTGCATGTTCTAGCCGCCCCTGCTCACCTCTCTGAGCACTATGATGCTACACAGGTTAGAGGGTGAAGTTAGGTAGTCTAAAGAAAGAGATGGGACCTCGCTGATACCGCTGGCCAAATGTTAGGGAGGTTTTTATTATTAGTATTTAATTTTATAGTAGTTCCCTCCTCATATTTTGAAGTTGTCTAAATTGGATGAAAATCATTTTTCTTGGTGCCTTAATTGGTTTCTTCTTGCAACCCTTTTGTCATAGTTTGATGTGACCATTGCCAGTGACCAGGGCCTGTGTATGCCTTGTGTGTAATTGTGCACATGTACAAGCTCAAATAATGTGCCTATGGCACTTGTTCTAAGTTGGTATTCATTAGGCTGTTCCCTCCTGGGCCAGGGCAGCACTAATCTTGACACTGGCTGCCAGGAGACAACGTCATGGATCATATACCGAACCTTAATAACAGCATCTGTGACCTGCACTGGCGAGTGTAGAATGGGAACCCCAGAGCTAGGAAGCACAGTTGTGTATTTTAATGAACTACTGGCTCTGCTAAGGAGGCCTCTTTCACTTTTGTGCTCTGCAGAAAGACCAAGGGGGGTAGGAGGGACAAAGCTTTGAATAAGTGCTTTCTAACACCGAACATGGCAAACAGGACTGAGCACATCACAAATCTAGGCAGGTGTGAGGTACGGTGGCTAAGAATTGCCTGCTGCCTCTCTGTGTCCTTTCGTCTTCGTAGTCCAATCAAGTGATCCTGGGAAAGAAACAGCCTGGGTTGGGGAGGACAGCTCAGAAAGAAAATTCTATCAAGACATTAAAGAAGGGTGAAGGGTAGGCAGGATGTGACTAACCTGATTTGAGCTCTCAGAATCTTCTGTAGCTGGATGACAATTGCAGGATCTTTTTTTTTTTTTCTTTTCCATCCAGGATAATGTCTGTCTGTGGTACATCATTTTAAGACAATATTAATTCATGTTATTATAAACTATGTATAGTATGTATGTTTTGTGGGTGTGTATATAAGTAATATATATTATATATACATATATATATATATATGAGAGAGATTTAGTGACTTTTGATACGGGTTGGTGCAGGTGAATTTATTACTGAGCCAAATGAGGCACATACCGAGTCAGTAGTTGAGTCCAGGGCATTCAGTGCTGTGTATATGATCTGTATACATGTATAGTGCCTATCTCGTGCAGTAAGAACCATCGCTGTCACGCCAAATCCAGCACTCACAAGTCAGAGCCAGTGATATTTTATTTGTTAGACAATCAGCTTGAATTTATAGGTAATGACTGGCAATGATTATAATTCTGAATCCATAACACTAACAAAAGGAAACCCAGAGTATCTTGGAGAGAATTTTGTTTTGTTTTGTTTTGTTTTGTTTTGTGCCTGGAAGTACAACAGCAATTGTATATGGTTATGTTAGTATCAAGATCCTTAACTTGTTGACTTTATGATTTTGGAAATTTTTTGTATATTTGTGGGAAGGTAAAATAATGGTTTAAGATTTTTATCAAATATGGAGATTAGTTATTTATGAAAAGCAAAGAAATGTCTATTTTTGTTTCTTTGTTCCCAGTTCATGTAGATAACTTTTTAAAATGCATTAAAGCAGCGGTGATGAAAACACAGTAATGCTGGAGTGTCTTTTTCCCCTCTTTATGGAGAAATGCTTTGCTTTCTAAGAGTATCTGAGGTGCAGATTCTAACTTGTCACCAGATGACTCGGATAGCCTTAAAGTGTAAGCAACTGAATGTTCATCAGATAATCGACCACATTCCAGCCACAAGAGGAACCCATTTCCCTCACCTGTGTTCCCTGGGTCTCTCCTGCCTTCATTGCCATTTGCTCCATTATTCATTTGAAGAAACGGAGCTCCGTGGAAGGTTGGAGGCATGGTCTGTGTTGTTTGACAGACGTGTGTGCATTGCACCTGTTTGATAAGCTGTGTGTCTTGTTGAGGGGCAGGTGTTGAACTCAAATAACTTCAAATGAGCAGCCGAGAGGGAGGACTGCAATTCATTGAGAGTGACACCCAGTTCCCTTCCCCAACCCCAGATAATTTGACTGGGTGTCAGGATGCTTATTGGTAGACTAACTTCTGCATGTGCGTTCCTGCCTCAGCAAAATCCAAGTGAGTCTGTAAGGCCATATTCTCCAGGGACTCTCTCAAGCCTTGTGGGAAAATGTGAGGCAAACATGGTTATTTAAGGCTTTAAATGTATAGGGCAGAAATATAATAATGGCTATTTAACCCAGTGTCAGTATGATTGTAATGGACTTCAGTATATGGCAGGGAGGGGGAGGCAGTCAGAAATACAGAAAGGCACCCTGCCGAAGAGCAAGTACAATTCACATACGTGGATAGAACTCTAGTATGTCTCCGCCTTGTTTTCTCTTGGCTCACTTTCACCGAGTGGAGAAAGCGGGAGAGAGTAATCAGAAACGGGAGCAAGAGCAGGGGGCACTTAAAAGCTTGGAGAAAAGGTAGCCCCCAAATCGTTGGCAATAGCACCATTCCTTTTTTTTAATGACTCAATTTACAGTTCTTTAGTTTGTCCATATGGAAGCCATGCTTAGAGGGAGAATGGTTGTGTGTGTGTGGACAGAGGATACAGGCTGATTGTTGGTTCAAATCCCAGCTCGGCTACTTATAGGCCCTGATCCAGGACACTTTTATTTCAGATTTCTCATTTGTGAAGAGAGAAGAATAGTAAGTACTTACATTTGGGGGCTCAGAAGATTTAAAGGTTAAATCAGGCAAAGGTAAGTAATGCTAGGAGTCTGCAGCTGTTCTGGTGTGGAATGGAGAGCAGCTTCCGCAGGGTGTCTGCCTAAGATCAGTATGGCTCTGAGAAATGCATTCCAGTCTCAGACCAGGTTTGGAGATTTAGTTAGGCCTGGGAGCTTAGGTGGTTTTTGTTTTTATAAAGATATTTCAACTTGGGAGTAATATTATGTACATCTAAAATTACTCATTTAAAAAAATGCATGGATAATTAAGAGTCCTTGTTTGCTCCTTACCCATTTCCTCTAATGCTAACAATCTTTTATTGTGTTTTGTTTTGAGACAGGGTCTCTCTATGTAGTGATAGCTGTCCTGGAACTATTTAGACCATAGGCTAGCCTCAAACTCAGAGATCCACCTGCCTCTGTCTCAATTGCTGGGGTCAAACATGTTAATGTCTTAACCATGGTACATGTTACAACTAAATGCTGGCCCTTTACTGTAAACTCTAGACTGAAGACACTGAACAGTAGTGTTCTGAGGTCGAGTGTTCATGATACCATATTTAGACAAGGACTTTGAGAGGTAGCTGGTTTGGTGACCCTATCGAGAAATAGAATATTTAAATTAGTCATGGAATTTCTAAGCACTGTTGAGTTGGAAGCAGCTGCTCTGGGGACTGTGGATGGGCTGGCACAGGTGAGCTCAGGGGCCAGTGAGCCTGTAAACCACAGAAAGTCTGCATTTCCTCCAACCTGGAGCTAATAGAGGGCTTTTATGGTCACCAGCATGAAGTGTGCCATGTTGGACATTCACCAAAAAAGGTTACAGCTGGAATGGTCTACTGCAACAGACCCTCAGGGGCTTGAGCCAGGTAAGGAGAGGGTGGGGGTAGGGAGGTGGGTACAACGAATCTCAGCCTTTGGAGGGATTAGTTCTACTAGAGAATAACCATTGGGACTTCAGGTGGTTTGTAGGGTAAGAAAATGGAACATCAGGGCCTTTAAAGCCATCATACTCAACCTGGGTATTCTTTGAGGGCCTCAGACATACAATATTTGTTGTATCTTCTTGTGGCTCTTTGGTTCTGGGGCTACCACTGATTTTTTTTTTTTTGTTAACATTGAAACTGCCCAGTTTTTTAGAGCTGTTATAAGGCTAGGTGGTTGTTTGGTTTTTTTTTTTTCCTGAACTTTTCACTTTTTAGATTCAGGATTCTTCTACACAACCTCACATCCTTTCCTGCATCCTGAAGGTCCCAAACCATAAGGTGGGATTGTTAAAGTTTTTTTTCACGGCAAGTGCATGTTATCTTTCTGGCAAACCCACTTAAAACAGTTGAGTGGTGAAAAGAGCCCAAGAAACCAAGGTTGCTCCTAAGTAGTAGGGGAACAGCCCAGTTTTTCCTTTGTGGCATTTGCTGGCACGGTATCAAGCCTTCAGATAGGTTAAGTGGCTGGCAGACTGGAGGTAATCTTATACTGGACTTGTTGACCCATACTAGGCACACAGTTTGCATAGAAACTAGCACTTTACCTTGGGGTATTTCTCTGCTGAGAGCTTTCTTTCCAAACAGTACTATCTTAAAAATGCAGCTTCTGGGTGAAGGACCAGGCAGGCAAACCAGTTGTTTTAAACATGGCTGGAGTGAAGACTGGGTTGTGAAAGGTTTTAGCTAGCATGCAAAGCTTAGCTTATGAAAACAGTCTAACCTGATACCTGGCTGTTAACACTGACTGACGTCTTTGAACCAGGGAATACTGCATTAAGGGATATAAAAAACTAAACCAAGTGGAGCTGTCATAAAACTAAAGTTCTGTGTTGTTGAATTTAAAATGCAAGAAATGTGGAAGTGTGGGCTAGGTTGGAATCTGATACAAAGAAATCTAACCGTAAACAGGGAATTACTAAGAATTCCAACTTGCAAGAATGGGAGTTTTAATGCGGTCAAACATGCATTTCAGATCTATCTTTTCCGTATAATGCAATTATCATACACCAGTTAAAACTCCGATATTAGTGTGGCACAGGATTATAATCTAAGTCCCCTGAAGGCAGAGGCAGTAGGATCACTTGAGTTCAAGGTTAGCCTGGGTCACCAGAGCAAGTGCCAGGCCACTGAGGCCTGCATAGTGAGACCCTGTCTCACCATTCACAGCCTGTTATTTGGTAGGCAGTCTTACAGTATTGATAGGAGGAGGAAATTTTCCCTTTAAAACATCTGTTTCTTGCTGGACAGTGGCGGTGCATGCCTTTAATCCCAGCATTTGGGAGGCAGAGGCAGGAGGATCTCTGAGTTCGAGACCAGTCTGATCTACAATAGCTAGTTCCACGACAGGCTCTAAAGCTACAGAGAAACCCTATCTCCAAAAACTGCAACCAAAACAAAAAAATCTGTTTCTCAAAAGAAAAATATTAGTATTGAAGGTGTTTTATTGTTTTGCTTTTGCCCCTTCATTTGCATTCATGGCTATTAAGTAAACTGCACCTTTCCTAAGAAGTAAATACAAATTTTTAAAAGGTAAATTAGAGGTTAAAAACAAAACTCAAACACATCATCACTCATCTTCTAAAACACAAAAGAAAAAGTCCTGACAGATGTCCCTTTTAATTATCCTTTCAGAGTAGAGAACCTTGAGAAGATGCTAGTTAGGACCCTACTGGTGATTTGGTTTTCATGCCCAGTTTGTTAAGTGACCCTATCCACTTTCAGAGACATTTACATATTCAATTGATCCAATTTCTCACCAAAAGGACTCAAGTTTTAGTGTCAAGGTCAAAGAGGGAAAAGCAATTATCAGTGATACTCATGGTGCTAAATTATTAAAAGTGGCAGCTTCATGTCCAGTCTTACTTTCCCAGATCATTGTTTAATGTTTGTCCACTCATGCAGCATTTCTACATATAAGATGCACATCCTTTTAAAAATGTTAACTTGTGTATATGTGCTTGTGCCTGGGGTCAGGAACATGTCAGATCTGGAGCTGGAGTTACAGTCAGTCATCAGGAGCTTGATATAGGGGTTGGGAATCAAATCCAGGGGCCCTGCAAGAGCAACAGAGGCTCTTAATCAGAGGCACCTCTCTGACTTCAATATTGCAAGTTCTTATGTGTGTTTTTGGTTTTTCAAGACAGGGTTTCTCTGTGTAACTGCGCTGACTGTCCTGGATCTAGTTGTGTGTGCCAGGATGGCCTTGAACTCAGAGACCCGCCTGCCTCTACCTTCTGAGTGGTGAGATTAAAGGTGTGCAGCACCACTCCATGGCTTATGTGATTTATGACAGGTTTTCCCTTCCTAAATTGTCAGTTCAGTTATCCCATATGTCAAGAACAAAGGAATCCATCACTCTAAGATCTGACTTCAAATATTGAAAAAGTAAAAGTAAATAAATGGGCAACACGGGCAGAATTTAATAATTGCTTAGTTCGGACCCTCACTGAGGATCAGAATAGGCCAGGCCATTCAGTATTTCCAGACTTGCCAAGGATACACAGATAAGAGTCCCTGTCTCAAAACAAAAACAAAACCCTTAGGTAGATTGGGTTTATTCCCACCTGAAATGCAAACTTAAAACATCATTTTAAGTTTCATACATCGGGTTGCAAGCAACCCCAATTCAAATTCCCATACTTCTGTTTTATCCTCTGTGGAACGCTCTAATTTGATACTATTCTAGCCACCTCTTTCTCTTTGGTGCATACCTATAATTGCATCTACTATGACCCTTTTTGAGTCACTATGATGAACTAACTACTCAAATGTGCCATCTACTGCTCTATGTCACTAAGTATTGTGGCTAGACATACTCCAGGTTCAACACATTATCTTCAGGCAGAAAACAGTCTGAGCAAAGACAATCACGACTCCTGAAGTAGACCATGAATCAAAGCAGCTTTGTCGACAGAGAAGTGGTACAAACACACTAGCCATGTTTTAATTAAAATAGAATTTATTAGCTTTTCTTTTAATATAAACATGAGAAAGAAAAACCACGTTTAGTTGTAGCATTCTTTTCAAAATAAAACTGCAATCAACACTTGAATCTCTAAGCTCTGAACTCCATAACAATGTGTTTTTGAGGTGGTAGATTGTAATATTTCATACATCCTTCCTTAACATTTATGTCTGTCCTTTAAAAAATGATGAACCCGGCAGCACTTGAGAGCGTGTGAAGGAAGCATTGTAAGAGAAAGTATTCTTGGCCCACAACGGTCTTGTTTACAGGTAAGACTCCCAGTTACATGTGAGAAGAAATAGAATGCACGTAGTTGAAAACACAAATTTTCTATTATTTCAAATTTAGGTGCTGCTGTCATCATTTTCCTAATCATTTCCTCCCCGCCTTTTAAGGCCTGTGCTTAGGACTCCTGGGTGCAGTGTACAAGACACCTGCACTCAAGCAATTGCCTGGGTTAGATTTCTTTAGGGCTCCTAGGTGCAGTTTAGAAGACATGTGTACCCAGGCAAACATGCAGGGTAATATTTTTTTTTTTAATTGCTCATTTCACCTGTTTGAGGATCTGATTCCTTTTCCATGTACTATATGTGTTAACAGTGCTCTTCATAACCTCCCTTAACTGAATGTAAAGACACTTAGGTGATCAAAGCAGTTAGAGCCCAGCCTGGCAAAGACAGACTGGAAAAAAAGGAGTGTTTCCATGGGAATACACAGCAGTTCCCAGATCTCAGTGCAGGTTTAAACTCTGACGCTTGTAGAGTTATAAACGCTACAAACTAATGAAACATTATTTAAGTGTTTTACTTTACCTTTTCAACTTAATCCCCCCAAATTTGGAATATCAAGCCTTTAGTTTTAATTTTTTGGTTCATAGTTTGCAATCTTCAAGAGAAAATTAGAAGCTTAATTATTTCAAATTAGTAAATTAAAACTTTTCAAATGATGTTTTTGTGAAAGTTTGTGGCTTTTATACTTCTGATGCAGTGTTCCCAGAGAGCCCAGGCACAGAACATTAAGTGTAAAGCATCACTAATTTTGGGGATACCTTGTATTTTTGCTATTTGCTCATGATCACTGGACCACTATGTTGTTTGGCATTATGAAAATATCTTTTAATACACATTTAAAAGTGAGAAAAATCATCTGAAAATGAGAAGCACCATTAATAGTTCACAGGAAATGCACTGAGGACCCAACAGAAGTCAACAACTGATACTTTCCCTTTACGGTTCCAAACATACCAAAAAACACTAGCAAGCAGAGCTTGCAAAGAATACCAATGGCGAGTGTTACCCAGCAGCTTTTTGGTAATTTAAACTGATTGCCAATAATGACTAGCAGCTTTGATGACACAGAAGGAGAACTTTTAATACCTAATGATGCTACAATCTGCTCCTAGATGGTTTCATGAGTGTTAAGTATCCCATGCTTGGGGCTGAGGAGTGTAGCTCAGTGGTCAAATGCTCACCGAGCACACGCTAAGTCCTCAGTTTGATTCCCAGCACCACAAAAATGGGAAGGAGTCTCATGTTTTAATGGTAATACTGAATCAATTCTAAAAGCATATGCAGCAGTTGAGAGAGGGGCAAGAAAAACAAGTTATATGGTTAGTGTCTTTAAAGTCTAAAGTCTGAGCCAGGCATGGTGATCCCAGCACTGGGAGGTAGAGGCAGGAAGATTAGGAGTTCGAGGCTAGCCTGTAGTTTGAAGCTAGCCCAGGCTACATAAGACCCTGTCTCAAACAAAAGTCTAAAAATTGAAACAATTTAAAAACCTCACATATTTCACAGCCATTGGCCTACATGGTAAGCAATATCTGTGTGTGGTCAGAGCTTTTGCTTTGGAGTAGTTTTTGTAACTGTTTACATTACAAAGGACAGAGAGTGGTTGCTTTGACAAGGTCCCATTCTTTCCTATGGAGTCAGCAGTCACTGTCCAGAGTCTCTTGAATTTGAGGTCTTCGCATTCGGTGGAGTCCCACCTGTGCTGGTCTCTGACCAGGAGAGGTGCTACTTCTCCAGTCTTTGTCAATGAGGAGTCCCTTGGTGTTCTCACTCCTCATGCCTCTCCCTTAAGAGAGGATGGCATTAGAGCGCTGAATACCAATGAAATTATCAGCGCTTAAAGATCTTCTCATAGCAGCTCTACACAAGTCTTTGTATTTGTCTTCACACAATCTTGAAATGGCCTAGGAAATGCAATCAAACAGAATATTGAGGTTTAAAGAAGAATGCAGCCTTTAAGGAAAGCAAAACAAAAAAAGCAATTCAAACCGCCTCTAAACAAATGTAGCCACCTGAGGGTGAAGGTCTACAGGGATAGGTACTGGGGATACTACTTCCTGCTAGTCTTCCTAATCTTTTCAGGGTCATGACTTAATGCCTGGAAGAGGGGAACTTAAGTTACCTAAAAATTGGGTTCCTGCCTGGTATTGGTGGTGCATGCCTTTGGTCCCAGCACTCGAGAGGCAGAGGATCTCTGTGAGTTCGAGACCAGCCTGGTCTACTGAGATAGGTCCAGGACAGGCTCCAAAGCAATACAAAGAAACCCTGTATTGAAAAACCAAAAAACAAGCAACAAAAAACCTGGGTTCCTCAGATGGAGATATGGCTCTGCAGGTGAAGTGCTGGCTATGCACACATGAGAGCTTTGAGTTTGGATTCCTTGTCCTGTGCCAGGTGTGGTGGCACGTCCCTACAATCCCAGTGCTATGAAGTGGTGAGAGGAGGAGCCTGGAGCCTCGAGGAGCCCTCTAGTAACCCAGTGAGGTCCAGTTAGGCACCCAGTTCCACAATATAAGTAAAAGACATCTGTGTCAGCTTCTGGCCATCACACACATAAAACTGAGTTCTCAAAAATGTAGTAGATGCTGTGACAGGCTTTTTTTTTTTTTTTTTTTTTTTAAACATCATTATCACGCAACTATGCTAAAACAGTGTTTACTCAGTTGTTACAATTATATCCAATTTCCAGTGGTCTAACAAGGTTGGCAACTGCTATACTTGATAGCAGGAGTCTAATGACTATTTTACTAGCACACTAATAGAACAGCATTCTAAGTTATCAAGGTACCTTAAGGAAGTTCCATCCTAAAGAATGTGAATCACTGTGACCCATTTACTTAACATTTAAGACATAACTATGACTTTGCCTATATGTAAGTTCACACCTTCATTGTTAAAGAACATTTTATTTATGTATGAGTGTGGGGAAGGCTACCCACTGGTGTCTGAAGGTGCCTGATCCCCTAGGGCTGGGGTAGAAAGACACTGGATGTGACCATTGGTATTTGAACACAGATCCATTTTCAAGCCTCTGAGCTAACTCCCCAGCCTCCATTACACTTTTATGAAAACACTATGTCATCCCTATATTCAGTATGAGAAATACATTTGCATTTTGCATGCTAAACACAGGTCTCTCAGTTTAGCCACTAACGCTGTCTAGTAAACTCAAGGTATCTGACAATTTTTCGGGTGAAATGCAGCAGAGTTGTGATATGTAAGTAGGAATAATTAAGAACATAATTTCAGGAAGTTATCTATATATGATTATGAGGATACAAAGCTTGAATAGGGAAACCATAACTATATTACATTTGATTAAAAAGACTGAATTGTGATTACTGGAGGCAATATCTACCTCTCTATATAATGTAGATACTTGTAGAAACCATAAAAGACACAGGAAATATGATGCCAGAGATAATAACCTCTTCAATGTGCTAATTTAAAAGCTTCCCATTGTCTTCACAGATGTTGGCCGGGTGGTTTGCAGCAAACCCCACTTAGTGAATGCAGCCTTACCTCTAGGTTCTGAGCTCTTTCTTTGCTGAGAGGAGCAAACAGAAAATTCAGGTTGTTGTCATCAGCTAAGGAGCGAAGGTCAAAGTAGTATTTGGCATAAACACTGGCAGGAACATTAATATTGAACTGGAGTAGCTCCAAGAAATGCCTTTCCATCTCATTCCTGGGGAGGAGGAACACAGCAAAACTCACATAGGGCAATTTTAGTCAACTGGGCAATCTTCAAAATTATCATTCAGAGTTTCTAGAATAGCTCTAAATTCTGTCTTGGACACATAAAGACTACCCCACTAGATTAATATACCAGTGCTCAAACAAGGTACAGCTATTCCTGGTCCTTTCTGCATCCCAGCACTGAGTTTGGGGAGGGGAAAGGTTACAGCCCTCCCTCTCATGCACTCATGCTGCTGACTTGCAGGCTCATTCTTCAGAGTTCCATTAGTGCAGCTGGACTATCCGTACTCCACACTCACTCACAAGGCCCGCTATAGTGAGCAGATGAAAGGAATGATGTATGCTGTTTATTAGCTCTGAAGAACTTGCAGACATTTTCCCTGGGCTGATAACAGGAAGGGGCTTATTGAAGTAGAGAAGCGCCAACAAAAGGAGTGGGCACATCACCACGGCAACAAATGGATCCATCGAGAGCCACGCTATTATCTCTGAGGGGGGAAAACTCTTGAGGCAACAAGGATTCATCTCAAATAAATAAATAAATAAATAAATAAATAAGCCACATTGGAAGGGAAAGGAAACCCCTTCCCCGGCCTCAGCACATGAGGCTATGTCAAAGGGCACAATGCAAGTTTCTGTTCACCTTAATATTACACTAAGGTGACAAACTGTCACTATGACAGTCAAGACACTCATTTTAAACTCTGGAAAGCAGAGAGATCAAAGACAGATGTCTTGGCTACACTAAACCCACTTTAATACACTATGTCTGGTAGAGCACTGTACCAACAAACCTGGTTCCTATGCTGGGAATAAAACCCCAAGACGCTGAGCACTTGCTGCCCTAGCCAGGACAGAATGTGCAGAGGGAGTGAGCTCTACAAGGAGGGAAATGCAGACGGGGAGCAGCTCTGTACTGTGTGACCATACTGACCTTGCTGAAGGTTAAAAAAAAAAAAAAAATTAGAGTAAACTTGACCATTCATAATCCCTTCAGAAAGTATAGAAAAATTATAAACACTTAAGCAAATACAACAGAGACCTGTCTTAGAACTTACTTGGTTTAATATTTTATTCACTGCCTCAAGAAGTATCTGACACTCTATACAGAAAGTAGGTAAAATATGGTTTTCTCATTAGCTAAAATTAAACAGCCCACTTCCAAAATTAATTTCCTGTTCATACAGCAATAAGCCTATAGAAATGTAAATCAGATAATGTTTTGATAATCAGGTAATCAAGACTTAATTTGCTACAGGAACAAATGTACTTCACTATCCCTTTTATATTTTCTCTGCTAATACATTCTAACTGTGTTGAAATACAGTCCTTCATGGGATTAACATGTCTATTAATAGAGGTTTAATCACTGAAGAAAAGCATTATGCCAACAGAATATGCAGCTTCTGGGTTTTTGTTGTTGGTTTTTTTTTTTTTTTTTTCCACATGGCTGAATGCACACCATTTACCGGCACAGCACATTTCCTGGACAGCAGCTGTCTAGTTTTAACTTATTTTTTGAACAGAAATATAGCCTAACAAGACACATACATGGTGGAAAGTTTTAAGGAAAATCTGACAGATGCTGATTTTAAACTTTTAATTTAGACTAAAAAAAAAAAAAAAAAAAAAAGGGGGGGGACTATAAATAGCCAACAGCAGAGGAAGGAGACAAATGCATATTAACCTCATCATGCTCTTCAGTTCTCAAAGGTCATAAACAAAAGGTGACAGGAACACAGCTCCTGGTGTTTCTCTGCTCATAACAAAAGGTACCAGGGCCTCAGCCCCTGCCACCACTGCCCTTGCTGTGGGTTCACATCCGGGAAACCCAATGTTTTCTGAATCCTTTCTAATCTTACAACTAAACCAGAGCCCCTGGCAGCTGGGTTTAAAATTTAAATTTAAGGATAATTACACATTTTACTTTTTCCCAGGGGCCAGTTTATAGATGATTGACACAGTGATCAAAGTCACTCTGGCCTTGGTAACTTCCAAAAGTATGTCCATCTGTTTCCGATTTTGTTGTCATGTCCTTTGGTAAGATGGCTACCAGTGCCACAATGTGAAAATGACCACTTTCAGCAAACACTGGTAATTATGAGTGACAGTCCTGACTACAGGAATGGGTAACTTCTACTGCCCTCATCATATCTTGATCTTCCTATTATGTTCAATATAATCAAGAGTTTCTTCATCACTAAGCTATTTCATAAGTACCCCCAGCAAAGACATTCCTCTGTCAAGTGAGCACTTTCAGGGTTTGTAGGAGACCTCTCTGGTGCTCATCTTGCTTGCAGACTTCACAGCATGAGTACTGGTATGCCCCAGCATCATGCTAGTGACCATCATTGAGGATATGCGCTCAGATATGTGGGCCGCCAAGGCTGGACAAGTGCTGGTGAAGCCCCCGAGCTGTTCTAGCATTGCCTGCCTAAGAGCAATCCTAGAGCTTACTAGCCCATCAGACCATTTCTAAAACAAATACTCCACATGCAGAGGAGGCAGAAGCATTTCCTGAAATTTTGGCTTTTGTACTTGGTAGCTTGTTATAGATGGTTAGATATAAAAAAGAAAAAAAAAAAAAAATGGTGAGTCTAGGGCCAGCAGAAGTAAATACACAATGAAAGACTCAGGTGATAACCTTGCACAAGTCCAGAGGCTCTGAGACAAGAACAAAACCCCTTAATAGTTCCAAACAAAAACTAAACCTCTTTTCCACTTACAACTGGTATTTTATTAAAGAAAATCATCTCCACACTTACCATATCTATTGGATAATGTACAATGATACAACAAGTGTTATTCCCATTCTAGCTTAGCCAATCTGGTATGTATCCATTAAAAGGAGCAGAACTAGTAGATTTTAAAAAGCAATAAAATATATACTGTACTATGCTGTCCTTGTAAAGGTCACCAAAACTGCAAAAATACTTTTCAATTTATCACATTATTATAAATATGCCATCAGTAACTACCAATTAATGATATGAACTGTTATACAGCTGGATAGAAAGAATGTAGTTTTATGTCTATTTCCACTGGCTGTTCAAAACAGCTTTTAAAAGTATTCTTTAAATTCTATGTAAAACTTTATGGGAGCAAATTAGAGTGCTAGAAAAATGGTTAGGAAGTTCACCGAACCCTTACAAACTCACATGTCCTCAACTGTAATGTCCTTGAGGATCTGGCAGTAGTCCACATTCCATACAGCCTGATCATCCCAAACCTTGGAGGCAAGAAGAATGGCTCCCAAAACAATTCTTTTCCAGTTAGTGGGGCAAATGTCGATCTCAGCATAAGTTAAAAGTCTCTCCAAGTAAACCTGCAAAAGTGGAGCACTGGTCTTTGATTGGGTTAAGGGTAAGTGCCGAGTTTATGAGTGACAGGCCTCCTCTGTGCGTGACAAGCTGCAGTGCTGCAGACACCTCAGCAAGAGGTCAGACTTCTCTGCTGTCCACTTGCCCAGGCTTCAGAGCAAGGGTTGTCACTTAGTAGTAGCCCTGAAGAACAGTACAACATTCACACTTGCAAAGCAGCAGACGGGCCCAGTGCAGACTCAGGCTGTTCAGTAAATCTCAAGTCTCTCCCATGTGATTTTACAGGCATGCCAGACTCACGCATCTAAAACCAAGTCACTCTGAGCACATTTAAGTCTTTTTCAGGTCACAGTGACTCTTGTGTGGAACGAGGACAAGAGAGCCTCCCAGTGGCTACTGGGCAGATAGCACCATAGGCACAGTGCCTTCATAAGGAACCACCTGTACCCAAAAGGGTGGCCATGCCTCATTTTCTCCTCTCCACTATCACTTCCAAGAAACCATTTTCTCTCTTACATAATCTGTCAATTCTCTTGGCTTTAAGGTGGTAGCAAAGCTTCCAGTCTATCCCTTAAACTGGAGTAGTTTGTGAGCCATTCTCATAAATGAGCTTAAACAAAGCAAATGCCTTTGCTATAAGCAACTGGGTGAGGTTGGTTGAGTCTAAGATTGTGGAGAAAGCTCTCTGAAAGATAACAATTGTTCTTTGGTATCCAAGGGAGATTGGTTTTAACCAAAGATGCTTAAGATCCATATATATAAATATGTATATAAAGCAGTATTTATATATAACACCTCCTTACTTGCTTTGTGAGACAGGGTATCACTATGTAGCTTTTGGACTGGCCCTGAACTTGTGATCTTGCTTCAGTCTCCCAAGTGCTACAATTACATACACGAGCCATCATGTTCAGCCCCATATGTTTTAAATCACCTCTACATTATTGACAGTAGTAAAAACAATGTAAATGCTAATGCTAATAGTACTGTTTGGAGAATGTCAAGAAAAGCTCCCACCAAGTATTTGTGATCTACAGTTGGTAGAGAGCAGGTGCTGAGCTCTGATGTGGAAGGGACCCAACAAGGGGTATGTAAGCTTTATATCAAGATGAAAAGGGAAACAAACTGACTTTTAAGAGTAAGTCACTTCTTTCCATCCTTCTTTATTTCCCCTTCCTTCCTCCCTCACTCCTGCCTTTCTTCTTCTTTTTTTTTTTTTTTTGGTTTCTCAAGACAGGGTTTCTCTGTAGCTTTGGAGCCTGTCCTGGAACTCACTCTGTAGACCAGGCTGGCCTTGAACTCACAGAGATCTGCCTGCCTCTGCCTCCCCAGTGCTGGGATTAAGGTGTGTGTCACCACTGTATGGCTGAGTCAGTCACTTTTTTAAGGTCATTAGACTAATGACTCAGATGTGTGAACGTTGTCCACACATATTACTCTCAGTGAGATTACAGTGAAGACTGAGTCTCTCAGAGTCTCCCCTGCTGCTCGTCACAGATAGTCAGGGAGCAATGAGGCACTGCACACCTTGGCTGCCCTTCCCCCATCAGGGCTGTTAGCGCTGTCATTCAGGGAAACACTGTCCTACTGTGTCAGTGGGAGACAGGACATTCTCTTCCTCAAACTGAAGCCAACTCTTCTATTTAATAGCTTGACTCCATCCCACGATACACAACACCCTTCCCAAATGGCCTTTTTAAAAAAGACATTTTCCCTCCACCAGAGATTTCATTCAATATAAATGTTTAGATTGCTCTGATGTCACTTCCCACAACCCCAAGTGCTGCTTCTCAAGATCATGTGCAGACCACATACATGGCAGCTCACTTCCAGCCCACTTTTAGTGAACACACGTGTGTGTGCTTCTGGCTGCTATCTCTATTCTGAAACAGCTCACGTCAAGCTCATCATGCTTACAAATGTTTTTATTCCAACTCTCCAATACCTAGTTATAGAAGCCCAAACTCCATGTTATCCTATTCCAATCTGCAAGTAATACCTGTTCTTGCTATCTTCATTAGTAATCTGACAACTTTCTATCCTGCAACATTTTTTACTACTTGCCTATATGACATCCTAATGCTCTACTGCCTTCTATTCTGACCTCCAATTATAATCTACCTCTACAAAAACAGTTAGGAAAGCTTCCTAAATTAAGACAATTTCCCCCTTATCAAGACTTACCAAAAGCTACTAGTTCACCTGGAACCCATTTCCCTGTGAGACTGTCCCTAGCATCTCCTCTCCCTTAATTCCCTTATTCCTCACTCCCTTCAAATGGCCATCCTGCTTTCCTTGAGCACATGGAATGTTCTAACATCACAGTCTTAGCACTGCTCTCACTGCCTATAATACATAAGCTCTTTGGCTTCCTCATCACCCAAGAACATAGAACTGGGCCATCAATCAATCACAACACACACCAGGACCACAGCCTGGCATGTACCTTAAACTGCACTGAACCAGGTTGGGTGAACCACTGGGGTCCACTATTGCTTCCCATTCTACCCCACTGACATCCTGTGTATGTGTAGTGAGCTACGAAGGGGACTCTCTCTTATGGCCTTTAATGGCAATTGTTTTGTGATAATAAAAGCAATGGCAACATTTTAAACTATAATGACTGTTAAATTTAAATATGTGTTTTTGCATTTCTTGAGAAGGTTCGTTTTATTAAAGTTCTCAGGATAATTTTAGGGATTAAACATATGTGAGCACAGACTTCCTAATAAAGCTTGATAAGAAAGGAATAGCTTACCAATGTTACTATTGCACATTCGGCTGTCAGTTGTGCAGCACTAAAAAGTGTACGAACAAATCTGTAAATAAATTTGTGTTCAGGGTCATGCTTAAAGTACTCCTCTGGAACTTTCTCTCTCTGAAAGAAAAAAAATATATATAAATATTGACCGAGGGAAATTTTTAAGTATTCTTAAGATAGCAGCAGTCTCCACATTGTGCCCACATGTTCCTGAAGATAATTTTAAACATTTATTATATAAATCAGATGTGTGTATGGGGGGGCATGCACAGACATGGTGCCCACATGAGGTCAGAGGTCAACTTTAGGAGTTGTCCTTTTCCTCCACCATACTGGGAGTCAAACATAGGCCCTAAGGCTTGGCAGCAAGTGCTTTTACCTACTGAGCCATCTTGTTGGCCGGGGTGGTATGGCTCAATTTATTTCATTTTTTGTTTGTATGTTTGTCTTGAGGCAAGGTTCACCTTGTAGCCCTGGCAGTCTTGGAACTCACTATGTAGATCAGGATGGCCTCAAGTTTACAGAGATCCACCTAACTCTTCCTCCTGAGTTCGGGGACTGAAAGTATATGTAATCATGCCTGGTGACATTCAGTTTTTTTTTTTTTTTTTTTTCAACATAAACAGTGGGGGATCTTAGAGTCAATTGGCATGAATGACATTTCAAGCAATGATGGACCAAATATCTATTATTAATATCTATTATCAGTTCCATAAAACATCAACAAGTAATAATGTAGCCATCTTAGATGAAGTACTCTATGATGTTGGCAGAATATTGAAATCACCTAACACATACTGGAAGATGTACCACTGTGAAGCAATATATAACTGTAATATAATTATTCATACCTATCCACCACCTATTAAAGAGACACAAGCATAAGCTCTGGAATTTATACCTTCATTTTCTTCCAGAGACTCTCCCAGTTCTTTTTATGCTGAACCCTTACTAACCCTAACATGTCACAGGGGTCATACTTGTCCACAATAAATTTTGAAGAAAAAAAAAAATTCTTTTTAGTTTCCTATAACCATAGGCTCTTGACACTGAATTTTCCATATCAACAGTCAGCCACGTATGCCTCTTTAAGTATTAAGAGTGGGCATATGTTGGGCATAAGAAGTGACTTCTTAAGTTTTTATAGGGTCTTTGATTTTTGTTTTTGTTTTTGATGGTTTTGGTTGTTTTTTCAAGTCAGGGTCTTACTATATTGCACAGACTATTCTCGAAATCACCATCCTGTTTTAGCCTTCAAGGTGCAGGGATTACAGGTCTACTTAAACCACACTGGCTAGTGCCATTTTAACTTATTTAAAGTTTTCTGATTCTCTTGAGAGGTTTGACATATTTGTTGGATTTACAAATGTTTCTACTGTTTGATGTTACTGAAGATGATCTGTTGTCAGTATTCAGACAATCCACTTACTTCCCTTAGCTCACTACTTGCCATATCAGCAAACCTGTTGTTACTCTAGCACAGCCATGAACAACTCTCCTTAAGCTAGGAGCAACTTTCTCCTAATAATCAATGGCAAAACAAACAAGCATGGAATACACAGCTCTAGGAAAGAAAAATACAACTTAAAAAACAAAGCAAACAGGCACTTACTGTGAGTGGATGTGATCGCTCATCAAAAATGTCCAGGGATCTATTTGCATCTCTATAAAGTTTAACAGGTAATGACAAGCTGAGTTAGAATCTTAGTTAACAACTGTGGTTTAGGGAGACTGAAAGGGAAGCCCAGCCTCTAACAATGCAAACAGTTTACAGTTAGTGGTGCCAGCGATGCAGGGACACTCCTCAACAGGTAGTGCCAATAACCAACCACTTAGAACTTGGATGAAGATGAACGAAATTTAAATTCCACAAGCTTTTGCCTCTCTTTAGTTCTTTGCATTATAGTTTTGTTTTTTTTTAACATGTACTTGCTTCTTATAAATAGTATGAATTAAAACTACAGGAGGCACGTGGTCCCAGACTGTCCTCAAACTCAAGCACCCCCGTGGCTCCCTGCTGTGCCCTGTGGTGACACTCCCTTGTGAGCATGAACCAGCTCTGCAACACTCTTCCTTACCTTCCCCACTGCACTTCTGCTTTCCAAACCTGCTGCTGAGCTCCCATGCCTTCCATGCAGCAGGGCAACTCAAGTCACTACACCCTGACCCTTCTTTTTAATATTCTGAATGAGGAAGTGCAAAGTTGACATGCAGCATTTGTGATTTACCTGTGAACTCAACCAGCTCTTTAGTACATAATATCACTTTAATGTGTAATTACAAACACTCTCAAAATTGAATGTAGGGATCTGCCACTTTGAGGAAAATACAATTTGTCATTATAAAATTCAAGCTGTCAAGCTTCTGGTGTATGCCTGACAGCTTTTCAGTGTTCACACTTTTTGCTAAGCAATGAAAACAAATGTGTTTTTAACATTATAAAGAAAGGGAAATCATTATTTTCCACAGGACAGGATGTATCATGCAACCATGCACTAGTTAAAGATTCCCTTACTATATAAGATGTAGCTCAATGAGTAGAATGTAAAAGTTCACTGAGAAATATAAAACCCTATTACAGTGAAACATCTTTATGGCTTTCGTGTGGTACTAGAGAGTAACAAAAAATTTGAGAGCTTTAAAAATGTATGAGTAAGGACTGGATTCAACCTTCTTTAAAACAAACTGAAAGTGAAGACAGAGAAACAGGAAAATATATTTGTCTTTCTACTAAGTTATACATTAAAGAGATTTATAAAAATGCAAATGAGATGTTCTCTCAACTTTTTTGATGCAGGAAAAGTCATTTTCAAAAAACATTATGTTAACAAGATTGTTCTTTGGTGTATTTTTGATTGTCACAATGGGAATGGACAATTGTAACATTGTTAAACGTCCTGCAATGCATGAAGACACCACAACAAGAAATTAGCTAAAAAAAATTAGTAGGATCAAGCTTGCAAAATCATGTGCTGGTTACAATGTGTTTCTAATTTTAATATATATAAACCAGCAAGTTATCAATATAATAAAGCCATACTTTTTAGAACCTCAATAACTAGAGGGCCTTTAAAGGGTCTTAAGAACAAGAAATTCTAATGGAAAATTCATTTCAATATTGTAATAAAAGTACTTTATTGTCTGATGTCTACAGTTACATCTTAATGCTACATTTGGTATTATGCAAGGTAATTAGTTTGAATAGTAAGATAAGTTTTAAGAAGCTCACCTGTTCTTTATGTGGTAATATATTGCTAAGGTCACACTGTGGAAGGAAAACAAATATTTGAAGCAATTCATTTTGTCATTTTTAAGCAGGGTTGACCTTCCCAGAAACCCTGAAATCTTAGTTAGAATAGTACCATAAAGGACACTTAATAGCACTCTGAATTCTTACACAACTGGACACTATGCTGTTAGAAGGCATGCTTCTCTTCATTAAGATCATGTGCAATGCTTACACATCACTGCTGCTGTTTGCCCTTCTACCTACAGAACCTTTTGTCCTGTGCAAGTTGTAGTATTTATACCAATATATTTGAGTTTAGAACAGTAGGGACTTCTGGTTAGGCCTCAGATTGCAGGTGATTTATATTTACTATCCATTTAACCACCGTGGATCATTAGCTTCCTATAGTAAGAAATGAAAAGTTCTGCATACTGAATAAAAGCATTTAAAGTCACTTCTGTGTGATTCTTACTAGAAAACTTAGGAAATGTGAATGAGTGCCTGCAAATCTGCTGATAGGATTAGCTACCCTGAACAAAGCAGTGCTGACAATACAGGAACAGCACAGGAGTCTTGATGGCAGTTTAAATGAGATATCAACAGCAAATACAACCCTTTAGACACTGTATTACTCCTATGTTTGCCATAGATGATGTGAACTAGGGAAAAAGGTGTTCTTTTTGCCATCTGCCCTTACCATCTACAATGCAACTCAAAATATTTGAGGGAAGGCAAATCTGAATTTTAGAAGTAGTTGTATGTATTTTAAATTTGAAAACTTGGATTTTGTAACATTATTGGCATCAAAGATGGATACTTCTACAGTGCTTCAGTTTTATTTACCCTCAGACTGACTTTTAAAATAAAATAAAATAAAAAAAAAAAGGTTCTGTTTGAAAAGGGCCACTAAGATTTACATGACAGTTCATACAACAACCACATTTACAGAAAAGGGAAGGAACCGATATTTAGAACTGATGCATCTAAGGTTCCACCAAGTAGGCAGGTGCAATTCTGAATTCTCATTAAGCAGCTGCTCCCACACTGCCTCACACTACCATATGCGCAGTTGGCACTGGGCAAGACTTGGATTCAAGATTATTTCTGAAGTTCCCAGGGTGATTCCAGGGTGCTGCAAAGTTTGGGAAGGGGCTGTGGTTAAGATCAAAGGACTTGCTTGGACACTCTTTGACAATGTAATAATGCCTCACATGCACCACCTTTCTTAAAGATGCCTGATAGTGTCTATGAACTGAGGGAAAGGCAAAAATGAGAAAAATGCATGAGCTCACGGCCATGTATTTTTCTTTCTTTAAGACAAGGTCTCAAGTAGCCGAGGTTGGTCCTTAACTTGCCATGTAGCTGAGGATGACCTTAGAACCCTGGATTCTGCCACCCGAGTCTCCCAATTGCTGGGATTACAGATATGAGCTGCCATGTACACTTGCAGGCATGTACAATAGAAAAAGTTGTGTGAGTCAAAATGGTTTTAACTCCTTGAAAGTCATATATTACTGCCTACAATAAACATTTTTCAAAATCTTTCCTAAGAGTCAATCTGCTCTAATTTTCTTGGTAAATGTTTATTTAACCAAGTAAATGTATTGATTTTTAAAACTTAAATAAGGAACTATCCTTTCAAAAGTGAATTCCTAAAAAATTAGATTACATTGGGTTGGGGGAGAGGCATGAAACCTATTTGGCCAAGGTTTACTCTTTGAAAATATAGAAACATCAGAATCACTTGAAGTCAAAATGATCCGAGGTCTCTAATGAAACTTCAATGATCTTTTATTTACAGATTGAGGCTTTTCTAAATACCAACACTCAGTGATTATTTAACAAATGACAAACCCAGGACTTTGAGAATTGAGGCTCAGTTTTTGACAAAACAAAATTTAATCTCAGCTGCTGTTGTAAGTATGAAAGGAAAGATACATCATGGTGAATAAGAACTTGCAGTTTTTAAATGAAGAAATTACTGATAATTGGCCAGAAAAAAAATTAAAAACTAGTATATTAGAAAGAAAAGTAAGCTGATTATTATTTTAGACTAAGGGGTAAAATTAGGAATAAAGGCATTAATGCTCCAAACAAGCATTTCCAAAACTATGTTAAAAAACAAAACAAAACAACAAAAAAACAAACCCAAGGAACCGGACAACTTGAATGTAGTGGGGAAGCTCTGCACTTTTTTTGACCATTGTTTTGGACCTGAATTCATCTTGGGGTATTTCAAAAAAGTCATTTCCAACAATAACCTATGTATGCATGAGGTTGCTCATGTACTACGGTGCCAGTAGAGGACAAATTGTTCATTCAAAAAGTAGTTTACAAAGCAGTAAGCATTGTTTTAGGCTTGTAACTAGTGAAAAATTTACTAATCTGGAAATATCTGTTATGTTTAGCAGTACTTTCACAGTATAAATAGAGGCATACTTTTCCTCAGATTTCTTATTTGCTAAACTGGCTGACTTTTCCACCATGCAGTTTAAAGTAAAATGGAAATTGAAAATTTACATTTAGTCTCTTAAATATCAGTATCTAATTGACCCCAATTTCTTGAACTGGGTGCTTTAACAAGATAATCAAATGACTGAAATTACCAAAAATGGCTGGGATGCTTTTAGCAAAGGGGTCAGTCGCTCAGCACTCGGCAGCCTAGTGGTACTCACCATTTTATTGTGGTTCTAAGGTTAGGCTGGCTGACTGTGCTGTCATCTAGAAATATTGTTGAGCATGAGCTATACTTTTTAGTAAGCTGCCCTGGAGATACCTGAAGGGGGAGGGAAATAGAAGAGAATGTCACAGTAAGTTAAACCTATAAAATGTGTTCTTTTTCCTTGGTTAAAATGTCAAATGATAAAGCATTAAGGTATTCTTTACAGTATATGAACTGCCTGATTGTGACAGCATGTGTGGCTCTGCAGGGAAACCCACTGGAGGCTTTTAATGTCCACAGATCACGTTTGAGGAATGGGTTAAAAAATGCAGCTCTTGGTACCATAGTTATAAATCAAACCTGGCAAGTATCTATTACCAAATTCCTTTATAAATGTTATAAAAAGTTTTAAGTAAGGTTTCAGCAATTTCTCTTAAAAGGTAGCTACAGTGCCTAAATACTGGCACAAGAGCCTTACTATATAGTACTTACTATAGTAAATACAAGGTGAATACTAAATATCTTAGTGGCTGAAAGTGTTCTGAAGTCAGAGGTGGTGTGCCCGGCTGCTCCCTTGCCAACAGGCCAGGAGCCATAAATTTCTCTGGGCCTATTCCCTTAAACATTAACATTCCCTCACATCTGGGAATAGAAGGCAAAAGCAACTTTGAGATTTTAACTTTCATTTCATGTGTAAGTGCCATTGTGTTTCTTAAATGAAAACCCCAAGTATTGTTTTTCCTCCAGTTATTTATTAGCACACATCACGATGCCTTCCTGCTGCTCTCGGCCATGGATGCCTTTTTCTCCATCTTTGTCCTTGGACCCCATCTACCTTCCAGCACATCTCTACCAACAACAACACCACAGGATGTTTCTCTTTGGGTACTCTTTTAACTGCTTGCAGGATTATCTCCCTCATACAAATCTGAGCTTCTCCAAATCTGAACAACTTCAATGCCTCTACCACCAAATGTTGAACACACAATCTTAACACCTTATGGAGTTCAAATAATTGAAGAATACAGTTAAGAATTGTAAGGCTGGAGATGTAGTTCGTTGGTAGATCACTTGACTAGTATGCTTGAGGCCCTGGGTTCAACCCTAGAACTGAAAAATTATCTATAAATTGAGAGATAAATCTTACTACAGATATAAACTAGAAGAGAACTATCTACAGTATCACTGGAACGAAGACAATTAACTTTTTGAGCCCTCTCAACTATCTTTAAAACACTTTAGAAGTATCCATTCATTTGCAAAAAAAAAAAAAAATGCAAGAATACAGCAAATCAGACAATGAAATAGCCTACAGTATGTTAAGACCCATATGGTCCATGGTCAAATAGTGTCACTGAATAAAGATCAACAGCAACATTCTTTAAAACAAAATACCAGTAACTTGGTATTCTTTAAAAACAAAAAGCAAAAAAACCACTAATTCAGATGCGCCTTCTTTTCCTCCTATGATCAATTATTTCTATCATACTATCACTTTGCCCATCAGTACTTTCTCATAAACACATGAAAAATGCAATAGGTGGAAGCCGCTAGCAGCTCACAATCAGAGATACCCATATGGTAGATAAAACAGGTTGTTTGTTTCACTATAAAGTTGCTGCTCCCTTTTAAATGTCCCAGATGTTATGTTTTTGAAAAGTACTATTGGAAAAATTAATTTTTTTCCAAGCTAGAACTATTTAAATTATATTTAAGGCTGTGATGTTTCTTAAGCTGTTCAGTTAACATGTGTACTTTGCATGACCTGTGTGTTAAAAGGGTATATTTTTATAAGCCCAAAGATAAATACAACATGAAAAAAAAAAAAACTGGTTTTCATTGAAGTGCTTTTATTCCAGTGGAAGATACATTTTAGGGTCATTATTATAGGTTGAGGAACTCAAATCAAAATTCCTCGGAACAGAAAATACTGTAGATATGTTGGCTAGTGTTGTGAACTTGATACACGCTAGAGTCACTTTGGAAGTGGAACTCTCAATTGAAAAAATGCACCCATTAGATTGGCCTATGGGCAAATCTGTGGTGCATTTGCTTCACTGATGATTGATGAGGGAGAGTCTGGCTCACTGTGGGAGATGCCACTTCTGGGTTGATGGTCCTAGGAGCTACAAGAAAGCAGGCTGAGCAAGCCATGGAGAGCTAGCCAGTAAGCAGCATTTCTCCATGGCCTCCTGCAACAGTTCCCACCTGCACCCCCAATTCCTACCCTAACTTCCCTCCATTATGATGACTGTGATGTAAAAGTGTAAGCAAAAAAACCCCTTTAGTTCCCAAGTAGCTTTTAGTCATGATATTTTATCACAGCAAGAGAAACCCTATCTCAGACAGTGGGTTTTGGAATATTCATATATATATATATTTCCTGGGGATGGGACCTAAGTGTCAGTACACACAACTTTTTTGGGGGGAGGCAGTTTTGAGACAGGGTTTCTATGTATTGCTGTACAGCCTGTCCTGGAACTATCTCTGGACCAGGCTGGCCTCAAACTCACAGAGATCCTCCTGCCTCTGAATCCCCAGTGCTGGAATTAAAGGTGTGAGCCACCAACACCAGGCTAAGCACAAACACTTTTGTGCGTGTTCCTCATTCACACAAACAGTCTAAAGGTAATTCTGCCAGGTTTTGCCGTTTGCTTGCTACTTCATCACATGGGATGAGCTGTGAAATTTTCCACTTGTGAGTATTAGGTTGGCACGCAAAACATTTTAGATTTCACATTCTGGAACATTATGGATTTCAAATTAAGAAAGTGAAACTTGTATTAAGGAATAACAGAGCATATACATAGTAACAATCAATTTTGACACAAAAAAAATGATGGGAATAAAAATTAAGTAGAAATAAAATAGACCTTCTGGTGACACTTCCTCCCATTTCCCTCCATATACATGGTTTCTAATCATGCACGTATAATAGCTTGTCTTTGGAAATATTAAAACATTTAATTAGATACAGTCTTCTAGCCCACTGGGTGCTCATTTAGCAAATCAGCAACCTACTGGCTAGAAACACCAAACACTGCTCCTATCAGTTCAAACTCTAAACTCCTGATAAAGACAGAGATTGTTTAACTCAGAAAAGCAGCCACTTCTACTCACCACTGCTGCCCTCTTCAGGCCACACTCCCAGTTTCAAGGGAGAAAACCTTAATACAAAATCTTGCCACTAACTGATATAGCAGGGGCCATAGCACTCACATCCAGCTATTCAAACTTTTACGTCTGGAAACTAGACAATGGCAGAACCAAATCTCTGAGCAACACCTGTAACATAGCAGCTAAAGGGAATTTTCTCCTAATGTTGCATGAAAACTTAATTGCCAGTTGCAGTTACCACCTTGCCTTTGCTGCCTTATGACCTCTATGAACTATACTAAGAAACCAAAGTCTACCCAAAAAAAAAATTTTTTTTAAAGACAGCAAAAACACTACTAATAGGTGGTTCCTAAAACAGAGACAAAGAGTAACATGTATCGTTACTCAGTCAGCACATGTATGCATGTATACCATGCATATGCTTGGTGCATGCAGAGGTTAGAAGAGGGCCTCAGGTCCCCTAAAAATGAAGTTATGGATGGTTGTGAGTCACCATATTAGTGCTGGAAACCAAACCCAGGACCTCTGGAAGAGCAGGAAGCACTCTTAACCACTGAGCCACCTCTCCAGCTTCTAAGGATGAATTCTAAATTCATTTAAACATAGTGGACTGATCACAGCTTATTTCTTTATGACATTTCATCTGAATTAAAGGAACAAAACAGTTTCTATCAAGATGCAGGAAACAAGATTGAAAGGATTTTTAGTATTTTTAAAAGATAAAAATTAAACTGGGTATGGTGGTGTATGCCTACGATCCCAACACTCCAGAGATGGAGACAGGCCGATCAGGAGTTATGGATAGCCATTAGAGCTTGTCTCCAAACAGCAAAATGAGATGGCACGGCAGCTCAATGCTGGTGCCTGTGGAGACCTAATGGAAGGAGTGATGAGCAGACGCAGAACTAGACACACAGCACCCTGGGAGGTAAGATAAAACATAAGAACAGAAGGCAGGGTTCAGCTAGGTCTGTGGGCAGGGTCTGTCTTACATATACTTACCCTTTAGAGCTATTAATGCTGACACTTTAGAGAGCAATCTTGGGAGATGCAAGGGCAGAAGTATGCGCTGAAAAGCCAACTGCCTTGCTCTGCTAACTTTTAGAAAGCAAGCAAACTTGTAATCCACAGGCAGAAATTTGAGAGCGTTCTCTGAAGAAACCCAACTGTCCTATATGATACTGAGGCCCTCCAAGTTAGTTTGGCCTCTGAACCCTTGCAATGCAATGCTTCAGTTAAAAAATATGCTACTTCTAGTTACAGAAAGCCAAGAGCTACACAGTTGAGGGGAGCCTCCAGCAAACAGGTTAAGACAACAGGAAAAGGGAATTAATGTGAATGCTAAAAATTCAGAAGAAAACTTAAGAAGGGTTAAAACATAAAGCAAATGAATCTCCAAGAACAAAAAGACAAACTAGAAAGTGAAGGGGAGATAAAAATTATACAGTTGTACTGAAATCATGGTGTACAGGCCCAGCATCTGGATAACAAAAATACAATAAAAAGGGTAGAAAAAATATCAAAGAAACACACACATACACCTTAGAAAAAATTGTTTGTAGACCTACTGGCTCTGACTAGAATTAAAAGGTCCATAACAAATTATAACATTTCAGAATCCTGAGATTAAGAGTTTAAAGCCTCCAGAGAAGGGGAATGTCTATGCATCATACAACAGCAACAGGTATTTTTTAACTTTTTATTGATTCTTTGTGAATTTCACACCACATACCCCCCGGGGGGGGAAGGAAGGAAGGAAGGAAGGAAGGAAGGAAGGAAGGAAGGAAGGAAGGAAGGAAGGAAGGAAGGAAAAAAATCTTGCCTTGGATCTGCTGGAGAACCAAAAGCTGCAGGATCTCCATGACACAGGGCAACAACATGATATCCAAAAGGAGTTCCAGTGAAGATCCCATACTGATAGTGCAGCACAAGCCAGAGATCTCAACCAGACCAATGACTGACTCACTCCAATGACACTTGCAAGTAAAGACGTTTGGGCAAAAGGGTATATTGTGTGAAACAAGCTTCCAAGGCAACAGATTTTTAATGGCACACTGTACCTTGGGAATACAGTTCAGGGGCCCCTGCCTAGCATGTGTGAAGAGCTGACATCAATCCTCAGGACCATAAAAAATAAAACAAAGTAAATAACAGACACACTATGTAGTTGAGACTGTAACAGAAAAGTATCCTTAGGACTGTGGAAATTAGTTTCAACCTGGAGCTCCATTTATAGGAGGAATTTTCCAGGCCAGATTACTACAAATACTATGTGTCCCTCCCCAAGAAAAGGTGTTCCAGTGCAGTGACAAAGGGAAACAGAGAATCTAGGACACTGAGGAACCAGTACAAGAAAGCAGTCACATGAGATCCCAGTAACTTCAAAGACATGTGCCAGGAAAAAATATAGAGAGCAGGCCTAAGCAAAACCCCACCCATTGGAGTAGGATGGCAAAGGCTGTGAAGCGGTGCCTACAAAAATCCAGACACATCCATTTTAATAGTTGCAAAATATTTTTGATAGGCATGTGACAAATGTGACAACATTTGGGGTTAAAAAGGATGGCTTTTAGGAAGCAGGCAAGAAAAAAAAATGGCCTGAAAATTAATTCTACACACTAAAGCAAGACTGTGAAGCTGTGAGAGCAGCTAGGGCTGCACACTGCGTTTGGCTGTGTGAGCTGATGTGGGCTAGGAAAAGGGATTCACCTAGAGTGCCTGAAGAATCCAGATTCAACCAATGAAGAGAAAGAATTAAGGTGTGGAAGGAGGCAGCACAGTCAGAGCACTACATGACCCAGCAAGTAACAATGTACATAGTCATAATGAAAATGCTGACTTAGGACTTTACAAGAAATAAGATGTGTGTTGAGGAAATGGAAGAGGGAAATAACGGTCACAATGAAAAACAACTTTTACCTATTATGATGGTAAGTCAGCAGATAGTCTAAAATCAATGGTTTGTTACTTCGATTACAAATTAGACTAAAGGGCTGAAGAGATGGCTCAGTACTTCAGCACTCTTAATTGCTCTTGCAGAGAACCCAGGTCCAGTTCCCAGCGCCCATATCAGGTAGCTCACAACCACCTAAGCCTCTAGTTCCAGAATATCTGATGCCCTTTTCTGGTCTCTGAAGGCACCTGCACCCATAAAGTACACATAACCTCTTGTAGACACACACACATACATAAGCAAATTTTAAAGAGAAATCAGTAAAAAAGAAAAAAAATTCAGGTATGTCTCTGTACTATACCCATGTTATGTAACTAACTATAAGTAAATAAACGTGTCAGAATACTGTTTTAAAAACAGTATTGTAAGACTTCCCCAAGTAAGTTCATTATCTGAAAAAAAGAACTTTAAAAAATGTACAGAAACAGTCTATAATAACAGTACTGCATTCCCACTATATTTTCTAGAAGTCACTGCAGATATACTTTAATTCAACTAATTTCTTAAGTTTTCAGCTATTTACTTACATGGTTTAAATGGTTGCTCTTCCTCTTTTCACGCACTAAGAATAAAAAAAAATTAACTGATCAATTCTGATACAAATGCCACAGAAAAATAAAAGTAGCTGCTACGTATTATCTGATAGGTTATCAACATGCAAAGTAAGGTAAAATTCAGTTCTACTTTAAAAAACAGTTGCTAACAAAATAAATTTGTCAAAATAAAATCCATAAAGTAAATCTAAAAATGAAATTCTACTTTTTTACCTAACAGATAATGTAGGCACAAGCGAAAATTTTTATATGCAAAAGAAAATGACAAAATTAGGGCAGGTGAAAGATTCAGCTAATAAAAAATTATGTTATAAATCTAAACACTAAACCTACCTTAATGAGCATTTCAAATGAGTAACCTAACTGAACATGACCCTGACAGCGTACAAATTCCAGAAAGAGACCTGGCCACACTGTTTCCCCACACTCTCTCCTCTGTGAACACTAGACTACACTCTAGACACACATTCCTTCCCACTAATAAGAAAGGGGTGGGCACAAGATAGTGGGGGTTTTTTTTGTTTGTTTGTTTGTTTTTGTTTTGTTTTTGATGGGGAGAGGGCTTATTTTTTTTAGGGTTTCTGTGTTGCCCTGGTTTATATAAAGTCCACAGCACATAAAGAGATACAGCAGTACTAACCAGGATCAATAGCTCAAAACAAAAAGACACACAAACCATGAAAATGTAGGCTAGAAGCACGACCACTCCCCCTTTTAAACTGGGTTGCATTGTTGCATTATTCCCAGTGTTATTGTAGAATCCCCACTTCTTACAGTCACCCTGTTATAATCAGCAGAAATTATTTAAGTTTTTCAGAAAAAATTGGGAGAGATGTTAACCAAATGTTACAGAAAATAGTACAGAAAAATCTCACAGTTCAGACTCTCAACCTAAAATAAGCAGGACAGAAAATTCACATATTAGCAAACCTAGGAAACATTAAGACATGTTTGCCCTGGGTTTTGTTGCAACAAGATGAAGATACTTTACATAGGGTGAAAATTTTGAGTTACATAAATGTGGGTATGACACTGGCTTACTGGGTGGGTGGTACTATATGAAATAAGGTCAAAATGACCATATATAACACACTTGGGTTTGGTGTTTCACCTAAAAAATCTAACAGAACCTTAAATTGTATCATTCATCTTTAAAACACACCACTGGACTAAGAAGAGAGGGAAAGAGGCAGGCAGCTGTAAATCCATGCCACATTTAAATCACGTATCTGCATTGACAACAAGGTGGGAATGTATCCACAAAATCCACATGCTCTCCTACCTCAAAGAGTTATATTAAAGCAAAGCAAATCATCACATATCAAAAATAAGTACATGAAAAGTTTTAAGTCAGTATACAAATTCCATAAAATATTTTCAGTGATGTATCTAACTGAATATAAATAGTTTTCAGGCTTTCCTCAGTGAGGAAAAGCGTCTTACCATCTGTCTGAGATTTGCTGAGGAAAATTGTGCTTGCCCTGGGATGGTCAGAAGGGTTGGATTCCAAAGCTAAATCTACAGAAGGAAAGAGAAAAATATGATTATTTGCTTCAAAATAAACAGGTAATTTTGAAAACTTTTAGAAGGGTTTTTAGAGATGAACATGAGGAAAAAAAGAGAAAAACAAAAAAATCTACTGGAAAACTGCAGAATCTCTCCATTAATGTGGGATCTAACAACTATGGCTTAGGCTCTTTAGATGTATACCTAAGTAATCTTACAAAACTTTAATGGAATCATATATGTGCCCTTCCCTTTGTATCTAACATATGTGCTGATATTACTGTTTCCAAACCAGCCTTAAGACAACTTACTGCGAGACACAGCTCAATATATCAAATGTGGGACAGCAAAGATGTTTCAAAAAGCATCCTTTAACCACTTGGCTAGTTATAACTTCTTTAGACAAAAGAACTTGTTAACTGTTTATGTGGGAGCAACTCATCAAGCAGATTTAGGACTGCATAAAAATTCATTTGCCTAATCCACACAACTTCCATGAATACAAACTCATTTTTAACTTTTGGCCTCCATTTCCAAGGTTGCACTCACTTTTTGATGCAGTCTACCTTAGGAGCAAGATGTCATAATCGTATGTTTAACCAAGGACACAGGACAGACTTTCTTTTTTTCTTTTTTCTTTTCAAGACCTGGATATCCTGGGACTCACTCTGTTGACCAGGCTGTCCCTTGAATTCACAGAGATCCAACTGCCTCTGCCTCCCAAGTGCTGGAATTAAAGGCATGCATGCACTACCACAGCCCAGCACAAGACAGACTCTAAACTAACCACAATGAACACTTTGTCATCACATGGGATAAGGAACATTGTAACAAGAAAGGAAAAAACTATGACAGTCCTGAGCAATGCTCATCTCAACCCATGTAACCAATCTTGCCAGAAAATGGAACAAGATCCAGGAAGGGCAAAGACTGGGACACTTCCCAAGCCTTGCCAGCCAGCATTCTGCTCTTTGAAAAGGAGGTTCAGTGGTAAATCACAGTGCACATATTACATCCTTGGCTTTTACAGAACACACTTGACATATTCTACTCTACTGGGCTGCAGAATTGGCTCAGCAGTTAGCATATTGTTGGACCCAAGTTTGGTTTCTAGCACCCACATGAGGTGGCTGACACTACCTATCATTCCAGCTCCAGGGGACGCAATGCCTCCTCTGACACCTGCACTTGTTCATACACACCAATAACAAAACACAACTCTAAAAACTCCTACTCAACCAACACTGTCTAACCAGCATATACATACACATACACATAAGTATGTATGTATTATATACATATATACGCATTATATACATATATACATATATATATACTTACACATTACTTAAGTATATATGTATATATACTGGTGTCCCCTTTCCTTCCTCCAAGCAACAGGCATAGAATCTTGCACAAACGTAACAGGAATTTGAATCACCTACTTTATTTTTTAAACTACTTATTTCGAGAGAGTACCTCACTGTGTAGTTTAGGCTGACTGTGAACTTTTTGATCTTTCTGCCTTAGCCTCAAGAAGGCTAAGATTACAGGTATGCACCAGCTGAAGAAAACTATACTTAAAGATACCCCCACACAAAATTATTTTTAAGGTCTTCTGACATCTTTAAGTGTGAGATAAAGTTAGCTATGTGGAAAAAAAAAAAGCCATGTGTGCATGAAGTGACAGGCAAAGATTTTATAAGCTGTTTCTAATCTAAAGCTGGTTACTGTACTTCCTTCTAAAAAAAACAAACATACTGTCATTTCAATTAAAATGTAATTTGCAGATCACACTATTAAAAATCTTCTGAGTAAATTGATACAGGGGAGGGTGGATGAGAGAGGGGAAGAAGGAAGGGGAGTGGGGGAAAATGTATAGCTCAATTAAAAAAAATGGCAGAAAAAATAGTTTATAGAAACAGCCATTTCATGCAGCAGTCCCTCTGCCACAACGAAGTTTAGATGGAACTGAAGTTATTTATATATAGCTGTCAATAGAGTGTTTCCCTGTGTTCGATCCCCAGACCTGGAAAAAAATCCAGGGAATTTCACAAGTATAAGAAAATTAAATATTAAAATGAAAGCAGACTAATTGAGGGCCTGGAGAGACGGCTCGGGAGTTAAGAGCGTTTGTTCTTGTAAAAGACATAGGTTTGGTTCTCAGCACGCAGGTTGGTTAACTCACAATGGCCTGAAACAACAACTTTGGAAAATTTAACACCCTTTTCTGGCCTCCCTGGATACACATATGTGCATACACAGTCATACACTCAGGTACACATATATTCAGATAAAATAAACTAAAAAAAAAAAAAAAAAAGCCAAATCAAGATGTACTATTATGGACCAAAAGGCAGAATCCAAGAAGGTTGTGGTAAAATCAATGATAAAAATGTCTTGGAGAGAAGTTTTGGAGTAGGTATATGTCCCAGGGATGGCTAATCAATCACAACTCTCAAAACTTCTCAAAAGCCAGAGGAGAAAGGCAAATATGCTGTAGGAGCATTAGCTAGTTAGGAGATGCAGTGGTTCATGGGAAGAAAGCCTTTTCAGCAGAGATTTAAAATGTGGGGTCACAGTTGGGTAAAGATTCCTGATGTTTGTGAATGAGGAATATTACTGACTCTAATTTGCATATATTTGATTGCAGGCTGGCCACTCTCCCATAGTTAATTATAATATTTCCACTTTGATGAGTTTTGATAAATCCTATTGGAATTATATACACCAGGGCTTCAATGCCAATTTGCAGTGTTTTGAGACAACATAAATGTTATGTTTATATAGGTATCAAAGTTACACTTTCCACTTATTATAAATACCACATGTTGCTATTTTATATAGAATGGAAACTTAAGCCAACAGACAGTGACCCTATATACAAACTATTATTTCTGTAATCCCTAATAACTCTATTTCCTAGAGCCTATGAAGATGCTAAGTCATACTACTCTATTCATCAGCTATGAACCAAAGCATTAGGATCCATAAACACATTCTGCACACAAATACGGACTTAGGAAAATGAAAACACACCAATTGCCAAGTATCTTCTATGAGGAGCTGGTGGGCAGTTTAGGTGGTAAAAGTGTTTAATGCACAAGGACGAGGTCCTGAGTTTGGATCGCCAGCCCTCATGTAAACAAGCAGCCAGCATGTAACACTGCATCTGCAATTCCAGCAAGAGAGGTAGAGAATGGCAGATCCTGGACTCAGAGAATCAGCCTAGACTGTCTCAACAGGCAGAGCATAAACGAGGAAGAGCAGCCTTCCCTGACTGTTCCCACCCTTATGAACACGTACACACACATACAAAGACACATCTTTCACAAAGAAACCTCTAAGGATGTTTTCAACTACAACAAATATGTCAAGACAAGGATTATAATTAAAATTATAAGATCTGCCATTTTGAATTATCAATTAAAGTTGCAATTTAATTTGAAAGCAATAGTAGGCAAATAAACTACTTTTTCTCCAGACCAAGGTTCTATTAAGTTTCATGATCCACCTAAATTATATGTTTAAAAATACTAAAAACACTCAACTTAGAATAACTAAATTCATTGCTGAAGGCTAAAATGTTAACATCACACAATCATAATCATAAAATTGTCCTTATCAAAATATTAAAGGCAATGACCAAGAAATTGGCAGATAGAAATAGTACATCTTGGGTGGAGGGAGTTGATTCCAACATAGCAATTTCAATATGTCACAATTAAATAGATTGCGTCAGCAGTTCCTAGGTATTTGTCTAAAGTCCTAGTCTACTTACTGACATGCTCCATCACCCCTTAACATAAACTGTACTAGTTTTATGGCTTTGAACACAAATATTCCAAGAATACAACTGCACTGCCAGATCAATCTACCACTGAGTGCACATTTTACATCATTAAGTTATTATTTATTACTTGATAGTCTCAAGCAAGCTTACCTCAGCCGAAGGTCCTCAATCAAGAGCTCACTCCTGCCCAGCTTTTCTAGCCTTGGATGACTGAAACCATTTCTGCACCTGCTCCCACCACCACCAGTTCTCAGTCTTCCCTGTCTTAATTCTCAATCTTTAATGGCTGTGATCATTCATATATTGAAACTTTCTTCATTAGTCTAGTTCTTGAGAACATTTTATTCAATTAAACTTTAAAAATCATTTCTAGGTTATACATTTACTATCTCCACTTCATTGTATACTCCTCAATGTTACTGTTGGATCATCAAAGCTGACTAGCCTAAAAAAAAAAAAAAAAAAAAAAAAACAGAAGAAAGACAGGCAGCATCCAAAGAAGCCCGTTCTGAGTCATATTCTGTAAGTTCTAGGCTGATGTTCAACAACTGGCATTTACATTCCTGATCAACTATGTCTTAGCTGCTAAAATCTTAGAAAACAATGTATATTTCCTGATAGCTGTCTTCTCATATAAACCAACTACAATTCCTGCACTAACTCAAAACACTGAGAGGAAAAAAAAAAAGAAATATACAAGACATACACAATACATTACAAAGTTTTCACACCTGCAAAAGCAAACAAGTAAATATTGCCATTTCACTGGAAAATCTGTATCAAAGTAATTCTTAGGCAAATATGTATGTGCTTTGGCCAAAACTAGATAAAAGGGTATACATATAATCACATAAGATCAAGAATTTCAGTGTTTTTTTTTTTTAAATAAGCAAATACGTATCTTCCTTGCTGTCCTCCACACCTTATTCCCCCAATCCTTTTCATGAAATATACCCTGAAGATGGCTGTAACCAGAGATCTGATTTATTTCATAGTTCCATATGTCCATACTTACTTTTATAGACATAACTGCATAGCCATGTGGACATGCCAGTTGATCTTACCTGTCCTTTACTGCATGAGATGCTGTCAATACCATCCTAATGAAAATAAGACAGCAAGAACTTTGAAAATAGGCTGCCTCACATGATGGTATGCACATCTTTGGCATAAGTTCCTTAAAATAGGGTTTCTAGATTAAATGAACTAGCAGTGTAGTTAGATTTTGCCAGATTCTCTTTCATGGAGGTGAACTGTTTTGCATTTCTACCATCAATATATAAAAATAACTTCCCTTATAATCTCAGCAATATATTGTAAAAGTTTTGGATCCCTCACCCTCACCCTCATCCCCCAAAGAAGGAATTGCAGTTTTCATTCACATTTCTTTCATGTGAAGTTTAAGGATCACCTGCATTCCTTTTCTGTCACTTGTACATTCATCTTTGTTATTTATTTACTTATTTATTTTATTTAATTTCCTTAAGCCAGCCTATTTTAGTCCCGAGGCAATACTGTTTTTTTGTTCAAGTCACCATTGGTTTTCTCTAAATTACTACCCAGCCTCCCAGCTGGTCTCTTACATCCATCATAATGCATGCTCACAAAGCCACTAGTTTCATCTTTTTCACAAATAACTTGTTCTGCTATGCATAATCCTCCAGTGGCTTCCTACTATAACCAAAATTCACATTGTTGTCAAGACCAACTTAGCCTGAAAAGGCCCTATCCATCATCTTTCTGTAGGCATCCCTTTCTCTCTACTGTAGCACACGTGTGTCCCTTCCTTTCTGTTATTTGCAGACACCAAGTTTGGTCCATATGAAAAGCTCTCAAGGGAGCCATCTACAAGGCAGCCTCTCCTCACCCCTACTGCTTCATTTCCCTGTTAGGAAAGAAAGTTCACATATTACTTAAAGACAGTAGTTACCTCTCATCACCCCAATGTAAACTGTCCCTTTCCCAATCATCCCCTTACATGACTTTCTTCCTACCAGGGCATGCCATTCTTGATGACTCACACATTTTCGATTCCCACCTGTCTTGGGAAAAGAAGGATCAAGGTTAGGAGGGGACTACCTTCTCCATCACTGTATCTGGAATACCGCCTCGCCATTCAAAGGTGTTCAATAGACACGTTCAGGGTACTCAAACCAGTCAGGCATCTTTCAGTTTTCTCTTATTTCTAGACTTCACTGAATTCCTTTTCTTGATTTGTCATCAGACAGCATTACTGACAGACCTCTTAGAGAAGTAGCTATTCAAAATACATGAGATAGTTTACCCAAGAATCACAAAATCTAAATCACTAGTAAAATTTAAATGACTAGTGAAAAGCCAGTGTTATCAAACTGGCATAAGAACTAGTGCCTTTAACACTAATGACACATCTTAAGGTGCTAAATTCTAAGACTAAATATGCCATCTGAATTCAATCCAGAGGTAGGATGTGCCAACTATCAAAGCCTGTTTTTATCTTATGAGTGTATGTACAATTTTACTATGAAAAATGTCTAACCACATGAGACAGGTATATCAGACCTATAGCTATTCAGTGGAACACTAAGCAGTTAAGAAAAAGCATGCCACAGAGAAGTGTGCACTGGTATAGGAAGACATCCTGGAGCACACTATGGAGAATAAGCATTGTTCCAGGGACAGGAAGCAGCACAGATAGATGATCTGATTTTTAGAGATTCAAGAACATACAACACAAAAATATTAATAAAAATGGCTTATGTGTTCTCTATAGTGCTTATCAACACATTAAAAAATTGGTTACTAGCTACTAGAAAGGGGAAAGATTCAGAGGTTCTCCCACATCACACTGACAATTCTTTCCCTACTGTCCCCCTTCCAAGGGGTGGGAAGAAGGGGTCACTTGAGAGAGCACTTTTTTCCCAGCCAATAAACACAGCTCCTAAAGTCAGAACATGAATGCTGCATGAAAGGCTGAGAAGAAAGAAGTCCCATACCCTGTCTGTGTTAGTGATGGATGTTATCATCAGTCATATCACATGGCCTTAGAGCCAATGGATTAGGGAATACTAACTATGTACTTTGGAAGTCCTGGAAGTGACTTTGAGTGCTCTAAAATGTCTCAAAAGAGAATAAAGCAGAACATCATTTATTCATGATTTTATCTAAGAAATCAAAACAATTCAATTCTTCTCTATTAAAAGACTACTTTTAAAGCTATTTCTCAGTTTCCAAGTAAACTGATATAAGATTTTCTGAAACAAAGGTATTAAAAGCAAACTTAATGTGTCTATATATTTTTGGTGATGAAATTTCTTATCACTTTACTGAATGCCAATGAATTTAATTTTACAAAGTTTTGGCAGCACTAAGGATCAAGCCTACGAGTCTGTACTTAATGGGCAAGTAAATATTATACCCTTAAACTAGTCCTCTAGACCAAAAGATGAAATTTAGAGTAAACACTGAAATGGGAATATTTTAGTAAACTCAAATTCTATGCTCACAAAATCACTTTTTTTTTCCCCCAACATTTCTGGCTTAGCATAGCATCCCCCGTCATACAGTTCTATGCTTGCATGCCTCTCAACAGCCTTAATATTCTGTCAGCATTCTCAACTTCAACTCATGGTTCTCACAATAGCCCCATTTATGTGACCTGTAAACTTTACTCATTTTCATCGAAAAGAGTACATAGGAGATAGAGATGAGAACTAAAGCAAATGCTGCCTTTGCATCATTTACTTGAAATGTAACTAAGACAGGGAAGGACAAGGAACCAAGAGCCCTACTGTACAGCTTAAACTAGAGTATACATTCTGAAGAGTCCAACCCAGCACATCTACCACCTCCACACCAGTCTTTTAGAACAGTTCTGTGCAGAAGCAGCTTCAATCATATCTTAACTTGTGTCCTCATCAGCAAAAGGGAGAATGCATACAGGCTTCCTTTGTCTTTGGAAGGCTCAAATGAGCATACGTAATCCCTCTCACCCAACACTACCCACATACTAACTGGTTTGTAAACCCAGAGGGTTACCTTAAAACATTGAAACAGAACAGTTATTTATAAACAGGCACACTCACATTCAGGCGTGTAAAGCTGCCCACTGTTTAAAGATACAATTACTTTTGCATTCTTTTATAATATTTAAGTATTACAAAAAGTTACAGAAGTCTATTGATCATGGGCCTTAAGACACCAACGGCCAAACTAAAGTGTAAAGAGAAGGTTATAAGACATTCCTCTAAAGAAAAGGAATAATTTGTAGCGATTATGTGAAACAAACAGACCAATGGGGCTTAAACACCTGATGATAATTTGTCTTACAAGTCTGTAGCCTTCAAGAACCACCATCCTGTTATCCAGAACTTCTTCCTAGACTCCCAGGGAGAATTCTAATTATAAAGCATCAAGCACTTTCTCTTCTCCCTCCTACCCAGCCACGCAGCCCACCCTTCAGTGGTTCAGTGTGCCGAACTTTTACTTCAACATGCTCAGCACTGAATAAAATTTTCCAAGCAGGAGATGGGGAGGGAAAAGGAGTCATGGAAATAAACACATCAGGTACCTACAGGGGCTTCATCCTAACTCCCAAACCTTTACATTACTAATTTAAGGCTAAATTTTAGCTTTTGACTCCCTTGAAATCCCTGGTCAACAATCTCTCCCCACCCCTCTTCCTTCGGATGAGGTAAATAAAGTTTTTAAACTGGCAATGTATTTATCAAAGTGAGAACTTTAAAGCAAGCAGAAGTCCGAGGGTAAACTCCTTATGGGGGAGGGGAAGTGGGACTTTAACGTAGTCCTGGAAGAAACACTGACATATTTCACAGAAGCCCCATTTCCCAATTTCCTTTATTTCTGTGTTCCAATTACAATTGGGAGGAATAACACAACTTATATTGAAGGTACTCTTAAAATCCTATTTATTACCATACACATTTCTGTGGCAACCTCTACTTGAACGTAAATAAGAAATCCTCAAATGGGCTGAATTTGGATTGCTCTAATATCAGTTACCTAACCGGTTCGGGGGAAGAGGAAACACTTCAGTTCTTACCTTAGTTACCATCTGGCTAAGTAAGGACAGGGAGATGGGACGGCTATTCCGAGATTAGGGTCCTGAGAGTTTTATTAAGAAAAGGGGCACTTACACACAGACACATTTAGTCTTGATAACGTCCCACTGGACAGTACCCAGAATTACAAAGAGGAGGCGGTGCGGGCAGCAGGGTCCCAGGTCGGGATGAGAGAATGGGAAGAGGGAACAAGAACTGGGCGTAGGGGTGGGAAGAGAAACTGGCCAGACTGCGGCCAAAAAAGAATAAGGGGTGGAGACGCGAGCCACAGCCTTCATCCCCGGTGCCCAGGCCCGCGCCAGTCTACTCCGGGCAGGAAGGAACCCGAGGCGGCGGCCGCCTCCCTGCGGGACCCTGGGAGACTGTGGAGGTGCTCCGCGGCCGGGACGCGCACGCTGCCTCCTCACCTTCGGGCATCTCTCGGTCGCTGATGTGCTGCAGGTGGTGGCCCTCGCCGGCTCCGAAATCCAAGTCGGCGGGCTCCACGGCCGCAGCGGGCGCGGGCGCTACCGCCACCGCGTCCCCGGCCGCCGCCTCGTAGATCTCGGACTCGTAGTCGGGTTCCGCCGGCCCCGCGCGCCGGCCCAGCTTGGGGCTGGCATTGGGGGACACGCAACAGGTCAGCGTGTTCCCCATGGGGCGCGTCCGCTCCGCTCGGCCGCCGCCTGCGCCTCGGCTCGTCCGGGACTCCGCTCCCACCCCCTCCCCCAACAATGGCGCGGTCGGCGCCGGCAGCCCCGGGCTGAGCGGGGCTGCGCCCGCCCGCACTCGCCGCCGCGCCCGCTGTGCGCCCGCCCGCCCCGCCGCCCGGCCCGGGGCAGGGCTCCGGCCTCGGCCGCACCCCCGCCGGCTCGCCGCCGCCGCCTCCCCACAGCGGACTAGTCTACGAGGGCGGCGACCAGCCCGGCTTATTTAAAAGGGGTGGGGACCCGAGAAGCGCTGGGAGACGCAGCCACTGCGGGCCGAGAGCGCGGCCGGAGCTCCTCCTCCTTCCGTCGCCGCCTCCAGACTGAAGGCCGCTAGCCGGCTCCTGCCAACCGGAACGCGCCCCGCGGTCACCTGGTGACGGGCAGCCAATCAGACCCGGACTTCCCTCCACGCGCCCGCCTACGGCCCAGGCACATGACTCACAAAGCCCCGCCCCGTCCCTCAAGCCGCGCCGCACGGACTCGGGTTTCCATTCATCGTGGGCAGCTAGGAGCCCGGTCCAGGGACTGAGTTCCGAAGCGGGCTCCGAAGGCCCAGCTTGGTAGAGAGTTGGTTCTGTCAGAAGCTGGGCTTCTCCATGCCTGACATCTTACCCAAGTACATTGCTCCAGACTTGGCCGGTTGGATACAGCCAAAATGCTCCCGTCTTTCCAGTGTTACGTTTTCGCTTGCAACTTAACCATAGCAACCCCGGGGCTCTCGTCTCACTCTCAATAAAGAGCTGTGACTGTGCCTTGCATGAAGCCCGAGGACACGTCACCCTTCAACTTCCTCGTACGTAAAATAAGGATCAAACTCATCCCTCCCAACTCAGAAAAGCTGGGAGCCAATAGCTCCCAATTCGCCTGTTTTCTCCCATCTCGCGACAGGCGTTTCCAGATTTTCTTTAACTATCAATGCAGAATTGAGAAGCACACTGTGGGGTACCTACATCCTAATTGATGGGGATGGTAGAGAACAATTAACATTTAGCAAGCTCCATGTACTGGTCACCATGCCAACGGAGTTCCCTAATTCTAAGTTTAAAGCAATCCAATGTTGTTAACATCTCCCAGATTTTACTGAGGGTGTGGGGGAGTGCGAGATACAGAGATTAAGTAACTTTCCCAGGGTTACATAACTGCTCAGGCAGGAGCCAGAATAGTCTGGATTCTAGGTAATCGAGATCCCTACACACACCTCATTGTGATCATCTCAAAGAACAGGTAGGAGGAAGTCACACTTGGGGAAAGTGACAGAGACTTGGTACTTGGTGGTGATGTTTAGTTCAAGTGGGTTTTTAAACGCCTTTCCTGATTGAACCTTCAAGTTCACTCTCTCTTCTGAAGTATGTATCTAGGAATCTTGACTCTCAGTGCATTCAGGCAAACGAGAAGCAAAAATTGGGGGAATCGAGCTGTCTGAGTTCACATCTATCCGACCCCGAAGTCAGTGTGGTTGAGAGTTTGAATTTTATACTGGAAATAGTTGTTGAACTCTCACATGAAATTGAAAAGTCACTATAAGATATATTTGTGACTAGGTCCCTCACAGGAGGGAAAGACAGATCCAACCAAGTGCAACGGTGTCTGAGTGGAGACAAAACGTATACTCATTTATCAGGTGAAATAGGAAGTACTTAGCTATTGGATATGGAGGGAGAACAAAAACAGAAAGCAAAAAGGATGTCTAAGGTTCAGATTTAGGGGACTTGGTAGATTTTGATGTCTCCCTCCTAGACAACGGAGGAAGACTAAGATTACAGATGAAAATAGTTTTTGATGTTGTTAAGTGTTGTCTGGAAATGAATCTCTCAGAAAGCTGGATGTGAAACTCTACAAGCTAATTCCTTCTTGTGATACCCCAACTTAAACTCTTTCAAAAAATAGCACTTGTACTAAAACAAAAGAAGAGTAATTGGGGGGCATTTTCTTAAGGTTTATATTCTAAGAGTGCTGCTTCCATTTGCTGGTTACTTCTGTGGAGCAACATGGAATCTATGCTTTTAGTAAATAAGTAAGATAAAACTGTTCAATGAAATAACAGAGGAAGTTGTTTTAAAATCAGAGAATATAGGAGGTAATTGAAGCCATGGGTGCAGGAATGGTGACAAAATCCCTGACAGAAGAAACTTAAGATTGTTTTGGCTCACACTTTAGAGAGCACAATCTATTGAGGTGGGCAAGGTATGGTGGCAGGAGCTCACAGCTTCCGCTTCTCGCATTCTAGTGTATCATGTTATACTTAATGGAAACCAAATTCCATTTGTATGGGCTAGTTTTATGTCAACTTGACACAAGCTAAAGTCTTGTTCAAGAAGGGAACCTCAAATTAAGAAAATGCCTCCATAAGATCAGGCTGTGGAGACCTGCAAAGCATTTTCTTAGTGATTGGGGAGGGCCCAGGCCATTGTGGGTGGTGCCATCCCTGGGTTGATAGTCCTTGGTACTATAGAAAAGCAGGCTGAGCAAACCAGAATAAGCAGGCCAGTGAGCAGCACTCCTCCATGATGACCTCTGCATCAGCTCCTGCCTCCAGATTCCTGTACTTCCTTCAGTGATGAACTGTGATATGGAAGAGTAAGCCAAATAAACCCTTTCCTCCCCAAGGGAGGCTCCTGCCACCATACCTTGCCCACCTCAATAGATTGTGCTCTCTAAAGTGTTGTTTTTAGCCATGGTGTTTCAGCACAGCAATAGTAGCCCTAACTAAGACACCATTGCCCCTCAAGATTGTTAAGAATTACCTTCAGGTAATACCACAATTAGAGGAAGCTGAAGTCCTTGCATGAAATAGCATAGTATTTACATATAACCTACCCATGTACATTCTCCCATGTATTTCAAACCACCTGAGTTACCTGTGGCACCTAATACAATGTCAGTGCCATCTAGATAAGTGAAATATGGTAGTGCTTATAGATTAATGACAAGAAAAAAAGTATTTGCTTGGTAGAGATTCAAGTTCTTTAAAATATTTTCAGTTCACTGTTCATTGAACAGGCAGAAGCCACAGATATAGATGTTTAATACTGCTTCCCTCAAATGTGGGTAAATCAAAGAGATATTTGAGCAAAATCCATGGAGCTCAACTCTAAACAGGTATATCACAAAAGTGGAAAGTGGCATTATTTACTCTTTCCAAGCAGTTAAAAGAAATACTGACAACTTTTGAGGAAGAGCAAACAGAAATTAAGGAAATAAAATGTATTTGTAAAAAGTATGGGCATTTGCAAACCCCACAGCCACATATAAGACCACAAAAAGGACCCAAAGGAGTATTAATTAGCCTTTAAACAGGAAGAAGAGGCTACTTCAAAAGGCAAGGGAGCAAAGGGGAATTAATTTTTAATTTAATTCTGTTTAAAGCACTTAGTTAAGTATTGATGACAAAAAAACAAAAACAAAAAAAACTGTATAGTGGGATTAAAACATGGCAAACCACAGTGGAATGAGAATATTCAATGAAGCTTTGTTTCCATTATATGTATTTTTTTTTATATATTGTGTGGGCCACGTGCATGCCTGGTGCCTAGGAAGTCAGAGGAGGTTGTTAGATCCTCTAGAGCTGCAGGTTTGATCGCTGTGAGCTACCATGGGGTACTGGGAGCCGAACTTAGATCCTCTGCAAGAGCAGCCGGTGCTCTTACCCACTGAGCCACCTCTCCAGCACCCATGAAGCTTTGAACATAACTGAGGTTTTGTTTATATGAGTCTGTAATAAATTCATTGGTTCATCTTGAGGTTCAATTGAGGAGACAGTCTTTGGCATAAAAAAGGAAGAAGACAGGAGATTTTTCAGAACATCCATGTAGCATAGTGTTTATATATCATTGGTTTAATTTTTCTTTCTTTTAAGGTATTCAAGTGTTTTGTTACAAAAATAAAAAGTATGACATACTACTCATAGAGTAGGAGTCTGTGGGCAACTGATATATATATATATATATGTATATATATATATATATATATATGTATGTATGTATATGTATATGTGTGTGTGTGTGTGTGTGTGTGTGTGTGTGTTTGCTTTTCTAAGTAGAGACTCTACAGTTGCCACCATATTCTCAAAGTCTGCAAACAAAAATGTTAAAAAATTATCATACTGGGCACGATGTAGAACAACTTGACTTTTCTTGTTATTAGATTCAAATACTCATAATCTGGTTCTCCAGTAGTCTTAATAAACTGTCTCTGCATTCCTCAACCACCTCCCATCTTCTTTCCAGTGCTCTTAACTGCTGAGCCATCTCTCCAGCCCTACTTTTATTATTTTAAATTATGTGTATATGTGTGTTTGTGTGGTGTATGTACACCCAAGTGCAGCTGTCACGAAAGGCCTGAAGAGGGTGTCAGATCCCTGGAAGTGGAATTACAGATAATTGTAAATTGCTTGATACAGGTGCTGGGAACCGAACAAGAGTCTTTTACTTGAACAGTATGTGTTCTTAAATGCTGAACCATCTCTACAGCCTTTGAACTTAATTATTAAAGGGAATCTTTGGATAACTGAAACAAATTTCTCTTAACATTAGACACATTTTATAGCAATGATTTGACATGTTCCCTACAGGTTCTTCCAGAAGCCTTTTTGACAGCAGCCTCTTCAAATAAGCTGACATGAGAAAGATAATGCTGGAGGGGGAAGAGGAGTTTCATTAGAGTTGACAGCACTGAACAGTTTGAAGAGGTCTTTTTAGCCAAGTTTGCCTTCTTCGAAACCCAGCTGAGACTTAAGTCAGGGTCTTTTTCTTATAATGGCTCTATTGCCCTGTTGTCAAAATAATTTTTATCATCATGGCACTAAGCCTTCCCTGAAGTACCTCTAGAATCATGCTATCAGAAGACATTTGCACAGCTACCTGGATGGATGCAGGGGCCATGGAACTTATTTTGGCAGGTGCTTGCTATGGAAAGCAATTTTTTTTTTCACAGAAAAGAAACTCCCTAACCCCAACAACCTATGTTGGCTTAGACTTCTCTGTAGAATGGGCCTGCCTGTATTAATTGGCATTCCAAGGATGAGTGCTCAAACTTGACTTCTTGA